AGTGTTATTGACGGATGTGTTGAGTTGTGTGTGTTTTTTTACACATCGTGTCTATAAATGCGTCTCGTAGTGTCCGCCGTACAGCGGCAACCCTCATGTTTACCCATAAAGCAGTGCGAGAAGAGGGAATATCTTTGCAACAAAATTCACGGTTCGGTTTTTCAATTTCTAAGAAGACAACTGGGACTACATTTATTTTGGCATGTTTTGTTTACGTGATGATCCTTACCAATTGACTGTGTCGGGTAGTGGCGTGTTTAACAACACATTTATATTTTCACCATCTCACCTAAAAAAAACCTTTATTATGGATATTTTTCTTTTTATTTCTTTGTGTGGGGAAAAATAAAAGCACAAGGTATAATCGTAGGTTTCAGAGATTGATTTGCTTGGCAGTTAATGTTCTACTGCGCGGCTGCAACAGGAGTACAGCGTGTCTGGGTTGTCTAGGCTCCCATCCTCCGACCGCTGTTAAATATTTAAAACCCGATCTCGAGTGCCGGGCCGCTGGCCGTGTGTTTTGTGAATGGACAGGGACGGCAGTCGGGCAGAGTACACGGGGCGTTTGTATCTTTGCTGTGTCACTGAATAATTAAAAAAAAACCGTTAAACAAACCAAACAACGGTGCACACTTTGTCTTCACCTCTGAAATATTGTTACTCCTCCACAAAGCATAAGTTCGGCAAAAGTCGGAATCATATCTGGCTTGGGGCACTCAGTTGGTGCCTCTCTGCTGCACCGGAAGGAACTCAACGTAACGTAGTCGGTGATTGATGATGGAGAACTGGGCGATTCGCTCAGGTTTTTTGCTCATTAACTGGTGGTCAGTCGTATGTATGTATGTTGGACTTCTTTCGCACCCTACCTAGCTAACCGTATGTGGCCAATTATCATGGTTACTGTTCCCGTGAACGTCACTCGTTGATTCCTCCAGCAATGTTGAGGACTCGGACTCAGCCAGACGCTGACTGGTTCACGTCATCCACCGTCACAACCACCTCACTGCACATCACAACTCACTTATTCACTCATCCATTCGCCACTCGCTCGCCCACTCGCTCACCCACTTGCTCACCCACCCACTCACCCATCCACCCACCCACTCGATCACCCGCTCGATCACCCACTCTCTCACCCACCCACTCGCTCACCCATTCACTCACAAACTCACCCACTCACCACACTGCAGTTCACAACACTTCTGCTTCTTCCCTTGCATCGCTCACCATGAGATTTCACTCCCATTGCCTCCTTTTGCAAGTTCTCACAAACTCGCTGAATTCAATGAAACATCTATCACATCTTGGGCAGTGCTGTTTGTTGCTGGCCCGCTCTCTGGCGTCTTTGGGCCTGTGCTCCACAAAAGTGACACGATTGCTTGTGTTGCGATCGAAACGTCGCGATATTTTTCTTTATTTTCTATCTACGTGGCTTTACCGAAAGACCCATAGAATCAAAACAAAGACTCGCATTAAGACCCCTTCGCACACCCTGTCCGTTTTTCAAAGCGATTTTACGTGCAGGGCCTGGCTACTGCAGCCAGTGGACTTTGTGCGAAAGCGACAAAATATTTTACACTCTGCACAAGCACAAATATTATCAGAATTCCCTAACAAAAAAAGTACAAACATTGCTGTAGGCAGCTCGCCAGTGCGTGTATGCTGATCTCTGCCAGGCAGTAGCCGCGACTGTGTGCATACGCGAGTTTCAAACCCTTGCTTCCATTTATTCGGTCAACTCGTGCCGTGTTTCCACGGGCAAAGGCAAAGATTCCCCTTTCATGAACCGATGGGCCATTTTGAAGACGTGCGAAGTTTTCAGCGAGTGGCCTATTAAGGGTGGGCACAGCACGCGCTGTGTGCGCGTCTCGGTGCAGGTCCACCAGGCAGGCGGAATCGATTTCAGAATCGGCTCGTGCGCAAATGCGCCGTGGATTGTTAAATCGCGGGATCGTGAGCGATGGCAGCGGCCTGCGAAGGTCTTCATCCAGCAGTGGATTGACCGCGGCACGGTGATGACCGCACACGAGGGAGCGGTGCGAGTGACACCACACACATGCCCAGCTGTCTTTTTCTCCCTTGTACACAGACCCACGAGCAGGTACCAGGCAATCCTGGTATCTTGGGTTCTCACCTGCTACAACAAAGTAGACTCGGCATTTGAACATGTGAGGCTGAGTTCATTCAAAGGAGGGTCGAGCAGCCGTGCAGCGGTTCATGCACTGCGCTCTGCACTCGGTGACCCGAGTTCAGTTCCCCGCCAAGGCTGCCGTCGGTAGCGAGTCATTTCTGGACTGATCCCGGGCACCTCCTATCACCTAACTCTCGCTGCCCAGCGTGGTGAAAACAACAACAACAACCCCTTATGACTGGCAGGGCATGGTCAGCCCTTCATGGCATGGGGGGGGGGGGCTTCATCTTAGCAGTGGATTGTGAATTATTAGTAATTATAATCCAAGGCAGCCCCTGTCCATTACCATATTCCTCTTGCCACTGGTGATTTGCACGGCCAGGGATTGAACCCAGGTCGCAGGACCATAGCACGGTGCAACAAGAGCAGCTGGCACGACCACACTGCGATCGGCCTCGCCCTGTGGTTTCTCCCACCCTGGTCGTCATCAGTGTCGACTCGGGGGTGCGAAAAGCAATCTCAGAGAATCGTTTTGGATGTGACATGACAAGTGGAGCCAGCAGCAGCAGCAGATGACACTTCTCTGTAACCTTTCATGCAACGGCGGTTTTTGACCTCTGGGACCCCGACCCCTGGCCCACCTCCCCCCAAGCCCCCATGCCTCACCCATCGAGAGCCAGTCCTTGATGCTAACCTGTAACTCTTTGTACTCCATACGTAACTTGGGTGATGTTCTCCTGAACCCACTCTGCAAGGTCAAGGTGCAGCCCTAAAAGTTTCGCGCCACTGCTGGCATGCGGGCCTCCGCTAAGAGAGGAATCTAGAGAGTACCTGGCCTATTTTTCCACATTGACCAAATCTCTGGCTAGATGTCGACTAACTGTGGAAACACGTTATATTTATTTTTAAATAATGCACCCGTTCCGCACAAATAACAACCCGCCCAGTGGCTTAGCAGCGTGGTTGGCATTGCGCCTCGGTGCAAGGAATGAAATGGGGGCCCCTCTCCAATTTCTCCCCCTGCCCCCCCCCCACCCTTGCCAGAGCCCAGCGCTTGGGCCCCCTCCCCTCCGCCTTTCGGGGGCCCGGCGCACCGCCTGCACACTCGACAGCTCCGTCACTTAACTCGCCCACCTTGCCCTCTGTGAAACGGGGACCCACTTGGTATTGAGCGGTGCGCCGCTTGCGGCGTGCGCAGGTACAGTTTGTGCTGCTTGGCCACGAGCGGATTTCTGTGCTGGGCAAGGTTGATTACTTTTTATTAATTTATTTACTGAGCGATTAGATAGAGCGCAGCGGCGAAACGAATAACGCCGCGCTGGAATAAACGGCCGTTTGTTCAGAAGGCTAAAAGCGAGGCGGAGAGAAAAAAATATTAATTTTCCGAGGGTTCATGCCTCACATGAGAGGTGATGAAGGAATTAGATGTTCATTAAAATAACTGCAATGCTAATTAATTATACAGCCACCCCGGACAGCCCTCACCGAGTCTCAATAACTCTTTTTTTTTCAAGAGGGCCCTGCGGTTGGGATGATTGGCTGGTTCTATTCGTCCATTGTTTGACTTCATGTGGGGAGAAATCCCCAAGTGCCCAGAGAAAACCCAGCAAGCCTACAGGAGGAGGAGGAGGAGGTTACACTGAACACTGCCATGGCCTGGTTCCCTTGCAGGCCCTCGCCTACAATAGCTGGCAAGCTCTGCCTGGTCATCAATCCCAGTACTAATCAGGTTCCTGGTCACCAATCCCAGTACTTACCAGGCTCCTGGTCACTAGCTACTAACCAGCCTTAAATCCCTGCTTAGCTTGCGACATCTGACCCAGTCGAGCGCATTCAGATTGATTGGGTAATAGCTGTTATTATTAAATATATATATACAGTATAAATATTCGTGGCAGTGACCGAACAAGTAAACGGTAAAGGTGCAGCCCTGCAGTTCTTTTGTTCCCGCCACTGCTCGCCGAAGAGCCTCCGCCAGAGGGGGCTCTGGAGGGCCCTTGTCGAGAGTACTTTTGACCTGGTGGCCTACGCTGGCCCGACCTCATGGAAGAGGTGCGAGCGTCCAATTTTTGGCCCATCCCCACATGACCTGCCAATGGATTGGCTATCTAGTGTCACGCCCGCGTACTCCCGTTGGTCAGCATCCCGTGGTGGCTTTGTCCTCAGGGTGCCTGTGAGGTCACGACGGGTGGTGCATTTACATCGCTCTGTTGATACGGACAGCCATTGTCATTGGAAGTGACAAGTCCTGTGGATATTAAAAATAGCTCACCGTTATACACTTGAGTGCATCACGGTTATACGAGTTGCTGAGGTGGCATGACCTACCCGCGAAGCGTAAGGTTATTTTAGTGCCTTATATTCACGGGACTAAAAATATATATACACGTGAATTGTATCACGTTTGTGATTGAGTCGTTTCTTCAGAGGTCTAAGCGCACAAACAGTCCAACGTCGCCTGTCCGACTCACTGGGGCCCTGGGGTTATAAGCGGATTCGTGGAGAAGTCAAATACGCGAACATGTTTGGAAGGTGACAGCCGTGCCACGTGTACACGAGGCACTAACAAAGCGCACGCCGCTTTGAACGCTGGGGACTTACTTGACTGTGCGTCGGCGTTCGGCAAACCCACGCCAGATTAAGAACACATTACTGCCGTGTTGAAAAGCCGGATTTGTGAGCATCTACACACGTCAACACTTACACCGTCGCGCCAATTCTGCACAGGTTGTGGGCGGTTAATCAGTGAGGACGGGGATATGTGGCGGTCGTGTGTGCGACGTTGCACCGTATATGCTTGGTCATCATAATAGTGGGGTCTTTGTTAGTTAAATGTTGTTAAATTTTGCTTGCTTGTTTTTGTTCGCAGGCTGCTGCTTGTATCCGTTGCCCTGCTGTCTGTTTATTCCATCCACCTGCTTCTGAAGACAGCAGGAATTGTGGGTAAGTGTTGCCCCGGGGAATTGTGGGATTATCAGAAAATTAAAGAACATTACACTTCAGGTATGCGATAATGCATTGTGTGTGTATGTGTGTGGGTTCAGCGCACGTGTGTGAGTGCAAGGGATAGAATGATTGTATTGGGGTGCGGAGTGGTGGTCTAGCGGTTAGCGCTCTGCGCTATGAACCCGGCGACCCGAGTTAAATTCCCGTCTCGCGGCCAACACCAGTGACGATTGTCTGAACCGGTCCTGGGCCTCCTCTAGGTTGACTCAGCCTTAATCGAGATCCTGGTGCTGTGTGTAAATCATGAGCACTGGGCAGGCAAAGACGGCCGGGCGTGGTGCCGGCCACACACACCGCCTCACCGTGCGTCTTTACCACCTCCCATAGGTGCTCGACTCGCCAACAGCACTTGCCCAGAACAATTCTGTTACGGCGACACGGGAGGTCTTTGTTTTTTTTGTGGGATTGCACAGAGCGGTCAGGCTTTCACACGGCTGCTAATGGGATTGCAATCGCTGTCACACACACACACACACGCGGGCACACGCCGCGTGTGTTTGACAAACGTGGGAACTGGGTGTTCAGCCGCCTGCGTTCATGGCGCACCTCCCTCTCTGTTGATTTTCGCTGCCATTGTTTTTCTACCCCTCTTGTTTGAGCCGAACCGCAAATTGTCACAATCTCAAAGCTAGATGTATAAATATTCTTTGATATGCAAACGGATGCAATGGATGTTATCCTGCCGGCATCGTGGTACCAATGGGAAATGCCGGTGAAACGGTGCGAGAGAGCTCTGCCCTCTTCTGCGCGGACCAGAGATCGCTTGAAGGGATCTTAGAGGTAGCTCTGTGATGTCCACTTCAGCGATGTCCACTTCCTCTATCACGGGAAGGCGTGCGCCGCCTCTGCGAGACATCCGGAACGGCCGCTTGGTTTCGACAGCACCGTCTGGGTAAAACCGTGGACGGAGCACAAAACGTTCTCACGAAAATGGACCACAGTGGATTGCGCTCGCGCGCCCCCCCGCAGAGGATTAGGACGGCTGAAGAAGAAGAAGAAGACGCTGAAACGCTGTGGATGTTTCCAGACGCTCTCCCCTATGCGCGGTCGATTCTGAGCGAGTGTCTAGGGGCCCAGCGCGTGGCGGTGGGAGGTGGGGGGGAGGGTGGCGTGCTGGTTGGTGCGCGCTGAGTGGTGCGGTAATGGGTGGTGTGCGTGGTGCGCTGGATTGTGCGGTGGGCAGAGAGATGGGAGAAGAAAATAACTCTGTCCCCTGTGCCGCTGGCGTGCAGGTATCCGTGCGTACGAGCAGCTGGGATACGGGGCGTTTAAAACTCCAGGCAAAGTGGCTGCCGGGTGTGCCATCACCCTGCAGAATATCGGAGGTACGCGCCAATACAGACACGCACGCACCTCTCTCTTGTCTCATTGCACAGAGCCCAGGTGGAAATACATCGTGAGCCTTCCTTTGAACGTAGGCACACATCCGTGCACGTGTGTGTTTGTGCTTGCAAGCATGGATGAGTCTGTGTGTCTACATGTGAATCGGCGGGTACGCTGCGTAAGTGTACTTGCCTCCGCACGAGTCTCTATATCCCGGTGCGAGTCTACGGGGGTCTACGTGACCTTACGGTTCTCTGTGTGAAGCTGTGGGCCTTTATGAGAGTCTGTGGGTCTTTCCCTGAGTCTATATATCACCACGTAAGTCTACAGGCCTCAAGGCGAATGTACGTTTCTCTATTTAAAGCTGTGGGTCTCTGTGCACGTCCAGGCTTACGAGGGTGCACGCACTTCCACTCGTGCCACTTGCATTATTTCCCAGGTCTTCTCAGTGTGCTGCTCACTGTAACCCGGTCGTAAAAAATAAACCTTGCCCTTTATGTGTCCACAACATCACCCGTTGCGATTGGTCGGCTGGACCCAGCTGAGCTTTCTCTCAGTCGCCACCAACCCTCCCGGAAGTCCGTCGTTAATTAGCGACGTCCTATATTTAAAGTCCAGGTGTGGTTTTTTTCCCACGAGTTAAAAAAAAACGTTCTGGTACATTAACGGGGAAGGTCCGGGGGGGGGGGGGGGGGGGGGGGGGGGGGGGGGGGTGGGGGGCGAGTCGATTGTCCCGCAACTCTTCAAAGATGCCCGCAGTGGTGCGTGGCAAACGTTGATAGGAGAATGCTCGGGCCGAGAGACCCTACGTGACAGCATCCACGTGAAGTTCCTTGAGAATTCATTTGGGTGGAACAGCGCCGCCCTTGTATGGGAGGTATGGGCAGTAAAGAGGTAAAGGCGCAGCCCCCGCAAGTGCCCGCTCAACGCCACTGTTGACGAAAAGGCCTCCACTCGACGGTGCTCTAGAGAAGCCCCTCTCAAGGTATTTGGCCTACTCTTCCAAGTAGCCTGGGCCAGACGTGACCTGCCAATCGACTAACTGCGGCACACCGACGTATACTGCTGGGTGAACAGAGAGTGGGGGGTGGTGTTGAAGAATCTTGTCCCATTGTTTCTACTGCGGAGATGGACTCGAACCGGCGACCTCTGGGTTGGCACGCCCAGTGCGGTGGCATCCCCATAGACTTGTTTAGAAGGTAAAAAAACAAACTAACAAAACAGATTGATGTAAATTCTCACGCTCACCGGTATAAAAATACCACTTGTAAATTGCATTCACGGCTCCAACTATTCTGGTAGATTGGCACACGGATGCCTGGCTGCGCAGATTTGTTTTGCAATGAAGATGATAAAGAAATAGAGCACAAACACACGGACAAAGAGTCCCCGTATAGCCCCAACAGGCTAGAGGAGAAGGGCTGTTAGCGAGCACCGCTGATGGCCTGCACGGCACACGAGGGAGTGGGTGGCCAGCGCCACGCCCGGCCGCCTTTGTCTCCCCGGTGGCGATGTTTTTACACACACCGCTTTAGGTTCTTATTTGAGGCCGAGTCGAATCTAGCGGGGGGGGGGGGGGGGGGGGGGGGGGGGGGGGGGGGGGGGGGGGGGGGGGAGGCCTTGGACCAGTTCAAATATTCTCCACTGTCATATACTCACACACACTCCTAACCAACAAACACACACACACAAACACACACATAAACACACACGCACACAAACACACACCCACACCCAAGCGTAGATAACAACGGAGAAACCTCACAAGCAAACAAGAAAAACAGAGACGAGCAACAGGACGGACAAACCTCACCGACGGGGCGAGTGGGTAAACACGCGATCGCAAACACTGGGACACGCCCCCGCAGGAGATCAGAGAGAGCTCCCCGCTTAACCTTGCCAACTGTGCCAGAACATTCCCCGAGTGACCACACATTCGCGCTGGCGCTGCAAACGGCAGCACCGTGGTCGGGCCGAGGTTGGTCGGCCCCACTTGCTGTAGTTCACCCACCCACACCATCGACTTTACCACACACCACTTACCAACTCACCACGCACCACTTGCCACTGATGTTTTCCCCCCAACGTTATCGCCGATTGTGCCGTCGGCATCGCCCCATGAGGCAACGCAACCTCCCGGATCTATCGCGAGTGCAAAGCCTCCGTGTTGGAGGACGGCCCACGGAAGGGGACATCACGGAGCTACCTCTGAGATTCCCTTTCGAGTGACCTCTGGTCCACATACACACAGAGTAAGAGGGCAGCACTCTCCCACGCGCTCTGCGTATGCGAGTGAGGTCGTTCGCACGGCCGTCGAACTGAGATTTGAATCCTCAGAACCCGGATCGTTGCCTAACTACGTCGCAGAAGCAACATTTCCTTGCGAGTATATAGTCTTGGTTGTTTCGTGCGTCGTCAGTGACCGGGACAAATCAACTCGCTACACTCGAGGGCCCCATCCCATCACAGGCAAGGCCGCCTGGAAGTAAAACCAGGAGCTGGACAGTGCCAGTTGGGCACCGTGACTTCAGAGCTTACCCCGGTTAGCCGCTGTCGCTACGATGTGCGTGACTGAGAACCCGCATCCGCTGAGACGACGGCACGCTTCAACGGATCGCCGTGCAACTGCTACCCTTTGCGCAACGACACCACCACCACAAAGTTCTTTCTCGTATGACCATGCAGACCGTTGAGCCAAATGCTCGTGGTGAGCACCTATGAATATATAGACAATAACAACAACGGCGATTCGCCACTCAGTGGCGGTGACGTCACCGCGGCGCCTGTGCCAGGCTATGTGCACGTTGAGGCCACGTGAAGTGTCGAACGCCCGCTGGCAGGAGGTCACGGGGCAGGCCCAGGTGCCACGGGTCGACTGACTGAGATGAGTGGCCGATGCACCACCTGTGCCACTTACTGTGCCAACCTGCTGTGTTTTATAGACACGCGCACACACATGGGCACGCACACTTGTGGCGCCTTTAAAACCCACAAGTGAGGTGCGTCCTGTAAAAAAAACTTGATAGCCCGCTTATATATTTAAAGGTAAACGTATTTTGCGCTGCAAAATTCCCCTTAAACCATGGCCATTTTGTGGCTTACCAAGGTTTCGCCTGCAAACCTTATTTTCAGAAATGTCTCGGGCATTTCCCTTACATCGAACACACACGTACTCTCGCACGTGTGCGCAAACTCGCAAAGGAACGTGCGCACGCCTACCTTTGTCGTCGTCAGCCTTGATCTATCCACTGCTACATGAAGGCCTCCGCAAGTCGTCGCCATCCCTCGTGATCACCCGATGTACCAATTAGTCCATCTCCTGCTCACGAGCTCATTTTGTCGCTCCATCTGCACTGGGCTTTGGCTTACAAAAGCTGACAATGATAGGGCACATTCAAGAATTGCGCGGCTTCATACTTTGATGGAACACTGCCTGGGAATTCCCGATGTTGTAGGCCTGGCCGGCGAGATAGCCAGGACAGTAACGGCAGTGGTTTCTTGAATCCATTTGTGTGTGCGGCGGTGGTGGTGTCTACGCACGCCCGTAATCCTGCACTGTGGAGGCAAGGGTTGGTGGATCGCACGAACGTTGTGGAACTTTCCCGTGGGCGTCAAGGTGTCATACCCTGGCTTGCCAGGAGAAGCCGGTACAACAAATCTGGACTTCACACAGTTCAATACGTATACGGGATAGAGCGTTGCCCCCTTGCACTGTTGGATTTTCTCCGGGTGCTCTGGTTTCCTTGGCTTCCTCCCACATGTCAACACTCGTGAGTTGGCCGATAACACCCTTCATATATGGAGGACCGCAGAGCTTGGGGGGGAGAATTTGGTGCCGGCTGCCTGCCTGCCTGGCTGCTGCTGCCGCCGCCGCCTTTCCCCTCGACTGTGGCTCCTCCTCGCGTCTTCCAGTCGTTCTCTCACTCCGCAAGCGAGCAGACGCGGCGGCGGCGATGGCGCGTTACGAGTTGACATGAGCACGATTATAATATGATAATGATGATTATTACATGCGTGGGTTTCATCCGGGTACTCCCAGTCTCCTTCCACGTGAAGCCAAACAATTGGGCAATGGAGTTGGCCAGACATCCCAATCGTAGCAGGATCTCTCCTGAAAAGAGAGTCGTGAATAGAATAGTGGATACTGCCAGAGGGGTTTAATGTCTGTGTGGACAGTCAGAGATAATCGTTTACTTAGCAGAAGAAGAGCACTAAGCCGTACTTTATTTAGCTGGGGTCCTGAGTGAGGGTGGGGGGGAGCGGGGAGCTGGGGGGGGGGCGGCACGCCGAGTTTCCAGCAATACCTCGCACGCTCGTTTGGTTAGAGACCAGAGCATGGACAAATGTCAAAGCAGAGCCTTTTATTTAGCTCGCACATTTATTTATCTATGTAGCTTGCATATTTATTTATTTATTTAGCTTGCACATTTATTTTGACCTTATGGGTTCTTTTAGCTTTACTATCAGCACACTTAGAACCCATTATGAATATATTAAAGCACAAAAATAAGTAGTTTACAGTAATCACAAAAATAAGCACAGTATGAATACTGTACACGTGTTTTATAATCGCGAAAAATAACTATGAATTTTTTTTACGGTATAATCACGTAAATAAATACAGTATTAACAATATATGAATAAACACAAATATAAGAGATGCTCACTGAACGACTTCTGTTCAAAGACTGAACGAAAAAGATGGCGAGTGGCGTGAACGTCGTGGGAGGTTTGGGATGAAATCGGACGAAAGAGGAAACCACGCGGACAAAATTTGAAATGTGGTCACAATTGAAAGCGGCCGAAAGAGCAAAGCGACGATAGTCAAGTGGACGATAGTCAAGTGGACGATAGTCAAGTGGACGATAGTCAAGTGGACGATAGTCAAGTGGACGATAGTCAAGTGGACGATAGTCAAGTGGACGAAAGTCAAGTGGACGATAGTCAAGTGGACGATAGTCAAGTGGACGAAAGTCAAGTGGACGATAGTCAAGTGGACGATAGTCAAGTGGACGATAGTCAAGTGGACGATAGTCAAGTGGACGAAAGTCAAGTGGACGATAGTCAAGTGGACGATAGTCAAGTGGACGATAGTCAAGTGGACGATAGTCAAGTGGACGATAGTCAAGTGGACGATAGTCAAGTGGACGATAGTCAAGTGGACGATAGTCAAGTGGACGAAAGTCAAGTGGACGAAAGTCAAGGTATCGCTGTACGAATGAGTCCATTGCCCTCCCTCATCGTCAGAACCGTCCCTGGAGTACAGTGAATCGAGGCCCCGCGCTTTGGGGGGCCCCACGCTTTTGGGGGCCTCTCGTGCTTTAGGGGGGGCCCACGCTTCTGGGGGGTCCCGCGCTTTCGGGGGTGGGCCCTGCGTTTCGATGTCACGCCGTCAGATGTAAAATACGTCCGGTTTAGTTTGAAGGTGTCGAGGAGGGGGGGGGGGGGGCCCACACGGGGGGTTTGGCCCGGCCCCCGCACCCCGCCCCCGCACCCCGCCCCATGGATGACCCCCCAGCATCGTTAGGTCAGCGTTCATTCCCGTTGGAGGTCCTGGGCCAGTGGTGGAAGTTCCACCTTCCTATAGCAGGGCCAGGACAATCTACGGGGACGAATTGTAGCCCACATGAGAATGGAGTTTACTCACAGGCGGAGGAGTGGTTGAGGTGCCTACTCTCACCACTGGGCCGAACTTGGTGCCCTGACCACCGACAACTGCACTACTGCCCCCCTCTCCCCCCGCGCAGTTGTGGTTATGCATCTGTGTGCGTCTCCGTGTGTCTGTAGTGTGCACCGTTAAGTTTGGTAGTGGTGGCGTGGTGGTTATCTCACCACGCTGAAAAATCGGCGACCTGAGTTCGATTACCGGCTGTGGCTAACCACCAGTGGTGAGTATTCGAAACGGTTCTGGTGCCTCCCCTAGGTCAACTCAGCCTTAAATGACAACCTGCAAGCATCAGTACTGGGGAAATAAAGGCGGCCAAATGTGGTGCCGGCAATCCTTTTGCGCCGTGCCAGCCTTGATAGGCCCTCACTAACAGCACTTGCCCCAGAGGTCTCTCAATGGCTGCACAGGGTGAGGGCGGTGGGGGTGGGATCTTTGCCTTGGTGTTTTCTTTTAAGTTACAATTTGCACAGTGGTGAATACGTTGGCACAAGTTCCTTTAACACATAAATATAACATTATTATTAAAATGTACACGAAGCCAAAAAGTTTGCATCACAGGGAAAAACGCGCAAATAACGCTCCACCCACCCGCCCCCCCCCAGAGGAAAAACAAAAGCATCAGATGTTTTAATAACAAATTATAAGCAGTTTCTTCGAAGTGAGCAAAAGTGCAAGGACATCGCACTTTGAGCCCATGAGAGTCTCTCGGTCTCCAGCTGCCATCTGGACACTTTCTGCACCCCGGCACACCGCGTCCAGTATGCCTCCGGCTACAGCCGTGGCCGCATGTCCACGTATCCCTACTCCAGTCTACATTGGCCACCCTAACAGTAAACAGTATTTCCACCACCCGTCCCCCACACCCTCACTCGCCACATCCACCATACTTGTCTACCGGGCGACCCGCGAAATCAACATTCCGTGAGAAAGTCAAGCCCTGGTCTGGAGCAAATAATTGTCACATCGCTCATCGCGTAGGGCAGGGATGCCAGCTTGAGTTCCGAAACCGGGGCTGGGTAACGGCTTCTATACCAGGACGACGATGGCCACCCCCGCTGTCGCCGAGACCGCCCACCGGGATGCTGAGCCCCCCACCGGAGACTCCACGTTCGGCCGATCCGGCGACGGACGCTCGTGAAACTTGAGCTTTGTATTTCCGGTTAAATAAATAAATAACGGCACGCGTCTGGTGGCCCACGGGCGTGTGTACGGGGGTTCTGCGGAACGGCCGCAGTGGTTGAAGTGAACGGTGTAATGTTTTGGGCTTTGTTTAATACGGATTCGATGACGAAACTTTGACTTCACAACAACGTTTACTCTGCACGTTTCTTGATATTCGCACTTGCCCCACTGCTGGATGGGCGTTCTCCCTGCACCGTACGGTTACGTTGCGAGTTATTTGCCATACTTCACCGCTCTGGGTCGGCGCACGCCTATAGAGGCGGGGGATCGTTGGCGCTGGGAGCGTAGAAGTACAGCACGGAAAATAGATTTTTCTACACTGTTCCATCGTAATTATTTCAAAAGATGCACACTTTATTTGACGCCTTAGAACCTCCCACGGCTCAAACTGGTCTCACCCGGCTATAAATGAAGGTCGTGTGAGTGTGTGTGTGCGTGTGAGTGAGTGTGTGAGTGTGAGTGAGTGCGTGTGTGTGTGAGCGTGTGTGCGTGTGAGTGTGTGTGCGTGTGTATGAGCGTGTGTGTGAGCGTGTGCGTGTGTGTGAGCGTGTGCGTGTGTGTGAGCGTGTGTGTGAGTGTGTGCGTGTGAGTGAGTGTGTGCGTGTGAGTGCGTGTGAGTGCGTGTGTGCGTGTGTGTGCGTGTGAGTGAGTGTGAGTGAGTGTGTGCGTGTGAGTGAGTGCGTGTGAGTGAGTGTGTGCGTGTGTGTGCGTGTGAGTGAGTGCGTGTGAGTGAGTGTGTGCGTGTGAATGAGTGTGAGTGCGTGTGAGTGAGTGCGTGTGTGTGAGTGTGCGCGTGTGAGTAAGTGTGCGCGTGTGAGTGAGTGTATGCTTGTGTGTGCGTGTGAGTGAGCGTGTGTGTGTGCGTGCGTGCATGAATGAGTGTGTGCGTGTGAGTGAGTGTATATGCGTGTGAGTGAGTGTATATGCGTGTGAGTGAGTGTGTGTGCGTGCGTGCATGCATGAGTGAGTGTGTGTGCGTGTGACTGTGTTTGCGTGCGTGCGTGAGTGTCTGTTTTTAACTGTTTTTAACATTTGATCTACATAACGACACCTTGCCGATATTAACTATGTTACCCTATTTGTATTTTTTATTTTTAAATTATATCTTAAAGCTATTTTATATTCGATATGTATTTAATTTTATATACTTCAGCCCCTTGGTGTTAGACTTTTAACCCTTATTATAGTACGACTTGTTTAAAACTTATTTAAGATTTTAGATTCCTATATGTTGAATGTATGCACCATCCTGCCAAAGTAAATTCCGTGTCGGTGTGAACTTACATGGCGAATAAAACCCTTTCTGATTCTGATTCTGATATGCGTGCGTGTGAGTGTGTGTGATTGTGTGTGTGTGGGGAGCGATAGTGTAGCGCGGTTAGCGCGCTGCGCTATGAACCTGGCGACCCGGGTTCGATTCCCGCTCACGGCCAACACCAGTGACGATTATCTGAACCGGTCCTGGGCCTCCCCTAGATCGACTCAGCCTCAAATGAGTACCTGGTGCGGTGTGTAAACATTGCCACTAGGGAGACAAAGGCGGTCGGGCGTGGTGCTGGCCACCCACCCCTCGTGTACCGTTCCGGCCTTCATAGGTGCTCGCTAACAGCACTTGCCCCTGCAGTCTGTTCAGGTTATACGGGGGATCTTTGTCTTTTATCTTTGTGTTGACGAGTGTTGTTTGTGTGTGTGCGCGTGTGAGCGTTTGTGGCTGGGTATGTGTGTGGCGCTGGTCTCACTGACCCGCCCGAGATGCCCTGTGCCGGCCTCCGTAGATGCTCGCTAACAGCCAACAGCACTTGCCCCAACAGTGTATACGAGCTACACGCGGGACCTTTGTCTTTGTCAGTGTAAATCACCATCGCGTTTTCTTCCGACAGCGATGTCCAGCTACCTGTACATCGTGAAGACGGAGCTGCCCACTGTGATCCGCACGCTACTCGACAACCGATAAGAGGTACCCAGTCTGTGTGTCTGTGTGTGTGTGCGCATAGATGTGTGTGTTTGTGCACGGATATGTGTGTATGTGGTGCATCGGCCAGTCATCAGTCGACCCATGGCACCTGGGTCTGTCCCGTGACCTCCTGCCAGCAGGCGTTCGACACTTCACGTGGCCTTAACGTGCACATAGCCTGGCACAAACGTCGTGGTGACAACACCGCCACTTAGTGGTGAATGGCGGTTGTTGTTTTGCATAGTGGGGAGCGGTGGTGTAGCGGTTAGCGCGCTGTGCTAAACCGGTCCTGGACCTCTCTGAGGTCGACTCAGCATCAAATTAGTACCCGGTGCGATATGTAAACTTCGCCCATGGGGAGACAAAGGCGGCCGGGCGTGGTGTTGGCCACGCACCCCCTCGTGTGCCGTGCCAGCCTTGATCGGTGCTGCTCGCTAACATCACTTGCCCCAACAGTCTGTTATAGGCTACACGGGGGCTGTTTGTCTTTGAATATATATACATAATGTGCACATATACACATCAGTGGTAGGGCTCGTTCTCAAGATTATTCTTCATCGGGGCAGTGCTGTCAACGTTTGAAAATCTAGCACAGGGATCCGAGTCCAAGCTATTCCGAGCGCTGCCACCGCTGTAAGCGCGCCGTCACCCAACCACCCCGTGGCCCCGCGGGGGACGGAACGTCTCGGTGAAGTCCGTGCGATCCGCCAATCCCGGCAGCAGCCGGGGACGGGGCCCCCGCGTGGTCACGCGTTTCTACGCCCGGTGACCTCTCGCCCGCGTGTGGGCATTGACCCCTTCGCCCCCCCCCCCCCCCCCCCGCACGTGACTGAAGGACGTGTGATTGCGTCGCGGCCCCCTCTCCAACCCGGTTGGGCGCGGCGCAGTTCCGTGTAATCCATACGAAGCGTCTCCGCGTGATATTTCCCGCCCCCCCCCCCCTTCCCACCAACCAACCAATCAAGGCCTCGCTCGGCTGGCTGGGAATCTGTTACCGAACGAAAACCAGACATCGATCCCCATTGTAGTGAGTAACGCGAGAGAGACAGCGGAGAACGTAGGGGCGAGCACATTCTGTTTGTGTCCCCCGCCTGTTGTTCGAATGATCGTCGTGTGGCGGTGGCTTGTGGGGGTCAGAGCGCTGATGTCCTGAGTTAGATTCCAAGCATAGCCAACTGGAGAGTTCGTGGTCTCAGCCTGGTTTCCATTGCCAGCAAAGGCTCCCACCCCCTCTGTATAGCCCAAACACACTCTGGGGGGCTGTTAGTGGGCAGCACTTATGAATGCCAACACGGAACACGAGGGAGTGGGTGGCCAACACCACGCCCGGCCGCATTTGTCTTCCCTGTGCTAATGATCACACACCGCACCAGGTACTTGAGGCTGAGTCGACCTAGGAGAGAGACAGGGCAGTTCAGATAATTGTCACCGTGTTGGCCGTGAGTGACAATCAAATTCGGGTGGCTGGGTTCATAAAGCACCGCGCCCACCGCTATGCAACCGCCGTTGGCTGCACGCACACGCACACGCAACGCATGAGAGTAATGACGAACATCACTCTCGCAGGACCCGCAGGAAATCGCAGCTTAAAGAGGCCATTTGCGGGGATCTCGGAAGCAGTTTGGAGACATCTCATTCCACGGGGCGTTTTATTATCACGTGGCTTGATGGGAGGGCTGTGCGGCAGTTCACTTCATCTCAGGGAAAAATCTGCTTCACGATTTGTAAATTGTTCAACGAGAGCGATGTGCCAAAAATGCAAATAGATTTTAGATGATATTTATTTGAGCTGGATGGGGCCCACGAATCCGTTAGTCTCTATTTCACGAGCATCCTGCGACGGTGCAGATGTTACTGCTGCACGGTACGCATCTCGCTTACAATCACGGTTACGTAGCTCGCGACACAAACAGCGAGTGTTGGTGCGCGCTGTTACATGCTTACAGGAATGTGAAACCGGTCAAAAACGTGAAAAGACAAAAAAGTATTCGTAAAAATGTTTTTGCGTACAAAAGTAAAGTAAGGAAACAATATGATCTTGATTTGAAGCTTTCGTGACGGCAGGAATCCTTACTCTTTGGTTCTTTCGGAAAAGTCACGGAGGTGGGAAAGCCATTCGATACCTACGTGACTTTACTGAAAGAAGCAAAGAGTATGAAACAATATAATTTAACAAAGCAAACAGATTTAAAGCTTTCGTGACTGCAGTAATTCATATTCTTAGTTTTTTCGGTAAAGTCACAATTTATTGTTTTATATATATTTTATTATTTTGTTGTTTCCCTTCAACGTGACTTTACCGAAAAAACTAAGAATATAAAGCAAACAGAATCAGTAACCAGGAGCTTTCGTTAGGATCCACACAGACTCGGGCTCACACTTCTCTGCCGATTATTATTTGAGGGCAGGGTGAAATGGGTGAGGACAAATGAAAGTTAGCCCAGGATATCTCCACTCAGAACATTTTCACTCAGGACATCTCCATTCAGGACATCTCCACTCAGGACATCTTCATTCAGGACATCTCCACTCAGAACATCTACACTCAGAACATCTCCAATCAGAACATCTCCACTCAGGACATCTACACTCAGGATATCTCTACTCAGGACATCTCCACTCAGACATCTCCACTGAGGACATCTCCACTCAGAACATTTACACTCAGAACATCTCCACTCAGAACATCTCCAGTCAGAACATTTACACTCAGGACATCTCCACTCAGAACATCTCCACTGAGGACATCTCCACTCAAACATCTCCAATCAGGACATCTCCACTCAGAACATCTCCACTCAGAACATCTCCACTGAGAACATCTCCAATCAGGACATCTCCACTCAGAACATCTCCACTCAGAACATTTACACTCAGAACATCTCCACTCAGAACATCTCCACTCAGAACATCTCCACTGAGAACATCTCCAATCAGGACATTTACACTCAGAACATCTCCACTCAGAACATCTCCACTCAGAACATCTCCACTGAGGACATCTCCACTCAGAACATCTGCACTCAGGACATCTTCACTCAGGACATCTCCACTCAGGACATCTTCACTCAGGACATCTCTACTCAGGACATCTCCACTCAGGACATCTCCACTCAGAACATCTCCACTCAGAACATTTACACTCAGAACATCTCCACTCAGAACATCTCCACTCAGAACATTTACACTCAGAAAATCTCCACTCAGAACATCTCCACTCAGGACATCTCCACTCAGGACATCTTCACTCAGGACATCTCCACTCAGGGCATCTCCACTCAGGACATCTCCACTCAGAAAATCTCCACTCAGACATCTCCACTCAGGGCATCTCCACTCAGGACATCTCCACTCAGGACATCTCCACTCAGAACATCTCCACTCAGAACATCTCCACTCAGACATCTCCACTCAGAACATTTACACTCAGGACATCTCTATTCAGAACATCTCCACTCAGACATCTCCACTCAGAACATCTCCACTCAGGACATCTTCACTCAGGGCATCTCCACTCAGAAACAATAAGTAACTTTAGACAAGTTAGATTTTGGCAGAGGCAGATTTATCACTTGGCTCGGTGGCTTTTCACTTACTTACGATTTCGGCAGCAATTAAAATATTGACTAATTGGGGCAGTGTTTTATTATTAACTTGCACGTTATCACTTGCGCGTTAACATTACGCACTCGGGAAGAAGTCCTTCGCCAAAATGCGGGTGAGGCAAAGCTGCTCGTGATACGAGCGCCAGGGAGGTTAACGCGCCCGCCTCGCGTCGTGGTGGTGGTGGTCACATTCGCATCGTGTCTAGCGCGGATCCATCGTTATTATGATTGTAATATGTAAAAAAAAACATTCCCATTCACCGATCGCGCGTGCCCCAAAAGCTCGCAGCTGCGAAACCAATCGAGCGCTGCTAACGACGCGCCCAAAAAAAAACCCGAGCAGCGACGGAACAACAACAAAAAAGAACTGTTTGCAAAAAGTCGCACACTCAAACGACGTTCTTTTCTCAGCAGGCTCTTGCCAATGGGGGGCGATGAATGCTGGGCGATGGGATTTAGTTTTTGATGGCCCGGGGGGGGTGGGGTTTGGGAGGAGAGAGGCCGATGCACAAGGCCGTGTGATCTGGGCACAAACTGAAATCTCAAACAATCGGAGGGCTGGACGAGAGCCCAGCCCAGATCTAAGCCACAACAGCGAGAGCCTTCGCTCAATGTGACGTACATTCGCAAAGCATAATGACTTAACGAGCACTTCCCAAGCGTCTTCTGCGAGTTTGTGCGTGCGTGCGTGTTCTAGCGAGCGAGGCGCGGGAGGTTGGGGGAGGGCTGCGTGGGTCGCCCGTTGGTAGACAAAGAGCCGCTCTGTTGCGCTGTTGCGAGCCGAACGCGTACGTTCGTGCGTGTGTAAGTACGTAACCTGCGTGCTTTATTTCCACGTCGTATGTCGTTTTTGCATCCGGCCCTCTCTGGGTAAGTACATCAATGAATAATTTGTTTCCTCCTGGAAACTTGTTGTCGCGATGATGAGGCCGTACAGCGCCGTGAATGAAATGCGGAGTTCTAGTTTCCGAAATGAACTGGTCCTGAACTTGATGAAGGCGGGCAATGAGTGTGTACTACCTGCAATTAACAAAAGGTTTCAGAAACGCGGTCGTGAAGACTTTATTTGTTAAAGCTGCACAGTCCGCAGAGAAGCGTGGATAAATGCTCGCTTGCCCATGGGAGACTGAAGGAGGAGCCGGGTGGATTAGAGAGCGTGCACAGGTGTAGTAGTGACGGTTACAGGTGTTGGGGAAAAGTGAGCGGGCTCAAGGCAGTACCCCTGACGACGAGAAGGGGCAATGGCCGGCAGTCAAGACCAGTGACGGAGTTGCGGGTTCGGAGCGGAGCGGAGCACACCCGGGGAGGGGGGAGCGTTGCCTCGGGGAGATGGAGCGATGAAACCATCTCGTATGCGCCGGTGGACGGCTGCATCACAGGGCCACGGGGGATGGCGATGACCTGGGGGAGGCCTTCGCGCGGCGGTTAATTGACCTTGGCTGATGATGATGATGCCGAAGATGAACTTGTTGACAAGGTGATTACAGAGCGCGTAAAATTGAACGGTGAGGGAACAGCAAATCGCAGCACGGCCACGGCACGCACTCCTGCGGTGGACATTTGACGCGCCGAGCCGGTCGTCGGCGGCAAGAGTGTAAGGTTTGCGAGTTTACCGACTTGCACCACAGTTGGCATTGCGCGTGCAATCCTCCGCACGTGGGTTGAATCAGTGGCTTTTCACCCCCACAGTGCCACGTGATCTCGGACGCACGTTTCACACGCTCCGTAATAACCATCGATAGTTTAATCACGCAGCAGCGTTCGTGCTTGGGCCGAGTACGTCGACCCAATTAGAGCTGTACGTATGTTGAACTTCTTTCACACCGTACGTAGCCAGACGTGCTCATCGCTCGTGAAATACCACGCACGGTGTGGGACGTGCTCAGACGGACTGTCCGTCATCCACGCAGCGATGGTGGCAATGGATGGTGCGTTAAGTTTCATGTGTGTGTCAAACTATTCATTACCCACATTTTATAAACTTAATAGGTAATTACCTTCACACCGCGACTGCCGTAAGTATCGGGAATATTTTTTAAAATGCTGGTGGTGAGCTTTGCCTAATTTGTGCAAACCGCCCACGTTTGGGTATTTTTTTTTATATATTCCATTCTTTTTGCCCACCAGAACCGCATTGAATCGCAAGACTTCCTTCTCAGGAGGGTCCTGCATTCGGACGCTGAGCACAATTTTTTCAAATATTTTTATTGCATCGTGTGGGATGGCACCGGTGAACCCCGACACACACACACACAGGGTTGTCACCGCTAGCTGCGTGTGGGCGCGCTGGTGCGGCGATTAGCACCAGTGACGATTGTTTGAATATACCCTGGGCCTCCCCTAGGTCGACTCGGTCTCAAATGAGTACCTGGTGCGGTGTGTAAACATCTCCACTACGGAGACAAAGGCTGCCTGGTGTGGTGCTGGTCACCCACCCCCCTCGTGTGCCGTGCCGGCCTTCATAGGTGCTCGCTAACAGCACTTGCCCCTACAGTCTATTAAGGCTCTACGGGGGATCTTTTTGTCTTTGTTCCGCAGTGCGTGGTACCTGAACGGCGACTACCTGGTCGTCATTGTGACGATAGCAGTCATTCTGCCGCTGGCTCTCATGAAGAATATCGGTGAGTGATCCACCCCTCCCTCTGGCTGTCCGTAGGCGTGTGGTGGGATACGGTTAAAGCCTTCAGATTCGTGGGGAATACCTTCCTGGAGAATATTAAATCCGCGAATATTAATGCTCAAAGTTTGAGGAAAATAGGTTTCGGGGGGCATAAACATGAATTACGTTAAAACTAAAACGTATTAACTGTACGTACCCAGCGGGAAGGTGCCCAGGCGGCGAGCCGGCACAAACAATTACCCAAGCTCTGCAGTCCTCTATATATGAAGGTGTTCATTGTCTACACATCAACGTGTGGGAGGAAACCGTAGCACCCGCAGAAAACCCAACCGTGCGAGGGGAGCGACGATCGATAATCTACAGCGACCTGCCTGATCCCGGTCAACCAATCGTACGCGCATAAACACGAATCGATTAATCATCATTTCCCAGGGTACTCCTTGTAGAGCGACACATCAGAAGGGGGTACAGACGTTCGTCGCAACGCCGCCCGCGCATCAGCGCTGGCGATGGAACCGCGGGCTAGCGGTGAATCGTAGCACGGTGCAGCGAGCGTGCCGGTGTGCCGTCATCACTGCCCCCTACACATGACGCGCAGAGACAAGGCGAACCACGCACGCACGCACCAATTACACCAAATTTTTGGTTGCAACACAACGGTTTATTGTAAATAGGGACACACGTGGTTTAACCTCCCTCCGCGGGTGCGGTTTAACCAGAACGGGTTGGCGTCATCCGGCGCCCGCTGGATTTGCCGTCGTCCGGGGGGGGGGTGGGGTGGGGGGGGGTGCTCGTCTCGTCGCCAACAATTCCTTACCGCCAGCGGTGTTTACGTGTCAGCTTAAGGGGTGTTTTTGTTGTTCTCGATGTATCTTGTCTGTTCAGTAGAGGCCGACTGGCTAGTTTTTCCAGACGGTGACAGACTGACACACCAGTATCTGACCGGGCCCTCAGATAACAATCCGATAATGACAGATTGACTGACTCATCTCTGATTAGGTTGTTTGTAATGGTAGATCGCTCGTTGGTGGGATCTGAAAACAATATTAGACTAACTACACTCAACTCCTCAGCAACATGTGACCCCCCCCCCCCCCTCACTGTTAACAAGCACCACAAAGCACTGGGGTACACAATAATAATAATAACAACACAAACATTCATTTGCACGTAATATGAATACTAATGATACAGGTTTTTTTGGGTTAGATTGTGTATATATATAAACTGTCGTTAAACCTGCCACCACCCGACGCAGCCACTTAGTAAGGTTGGTCACGTAAAACAAAACGTGGTCAGTTTCGTTACTAGTACAGCACCCCGGCCAAACATTTTGCGGTTTACCGACACGTATTTACGCAATCTAAACCAAAAAAATGCCTGCGTTGTGGATGATATTGGTCAGCGAAAGCCTACGTGTTAAACTGAATATGAACCAGATCACCGCAAGTATGCAGCCAAGATCGAGGGTCACGCAGAAGGGACACCATTGGCAGGTCTTAAAGAGCGTGAAGGGGGCATGGATTAAATTAAAATACACAAGCGTAGCCAAGGCCTGAGCACAGAGCCCAGTACACACGGAGCACGCATTACGCACAGTACCGTGGTACGCATGGTACCGTGGTACGCATGGGCACCGTGGTACGCACAGTAACCCAGTGGTACGCATGGTACCGTGGTACACACAGGTACGCATGATACACGCAGTAAGCATGATACACACAGTAAGCATGATACACACAGTGCACACAGTACGCACAGTACCATGATACGCACGGTACGCACGTCCCACAGTACGCACGGTGCACATCACGTGCCGTGGCACGCGCTGCCTTCGACATGCGGGTCGTGCGGATGTCAGGAACGCTGCCGCGGAGGGAGAAAGAAAGGTGCCGTTTATAATTTGTTTCGTTGGCTTGGTCAAAGTGCAACGCGAGGTTTGGCCAAAAACAAACACCAGCGGCCACGTGGGGGGATGAGGAGGCGGTGGTGGCGCTTGCCCCGCAGTGCCCCACGCTGGCCGAGAGATGCTCGCTTGTGGGGACACCAAACAACAGCTGCCTCCGTCCCGAAAATGTTGTTATTTACAACAGCGCTGGCCACTTCATTTCTTTTGGCTTTCGTGGTTTTTTTTATTTGTTCCATTTTTACACTTCTCCGTCACGACTGACGATAGATGTGCATTCGAATCACGCGGTGTTTCCTCATCGTCCCTCGCCCGGTATTTGCAGGTCTGGTTTTATTCCGTTCAGAATGAGCTCTTTGCTCAACTGAATACCAATGCTAATGAAAATGTCGTTTGCATGAGCGCGTGGATTTAATTATACGCATTACAAACATCCGTTTGTCTTCGTATTTGTTTATGGGGCATATTTGGCATTAGTCCTTTTTTTTGCTCTGTTTTGGATCTTCCAAGTTTTGGGAAACCCTGCGATCAATTTGCACAATTAACGATGAACTCGGCACACTCGCCAACAACGCTGTGGCTTAAAAAGAAACTCAACGAGTATATAGTCTTGATTTGAAGCTTTCGTGACTGCAGGAATCCATACTCTTTGGTTCTTTCGGACAAAGTCACGTAGGTAGAAAAATAATAGATATTGACGTTTCGATCGCAACACAAGCAATCGTCATCAGGTGGGACAACCACAGCAAGAAACACCTGCTGAAGTAGGCGAGAGATCTGCCATGGCACGAGGTTATAGAGGCCTCAGCAGCCAATCTCTCCATCGCTGCTGCGGGGTCCACTTTCTGCCCCGCCTCCCCCCCCCCTTCTCTCTGCCCCCTACTGCCGAGGCCTACTATATAACCTCGTGCCACGGCAGATCTCTCGTCTACTTCGGCAGTTTTTACTTGCTGTGGTTGTCCCACCTGGCGACGATTGCTTGTGTTGCGATCGATACGCCGTGATCTATTATTTTTCCACCTACGTGACTTTACGGAAAGGACCAAAGAGTTTGAGTATATAGTCAGCGACGTTTCGGGCAATGTAGCATGAAGAAGGGCCCAATGTCTGAAATGTCGGCGATTATATTTCCTAGGCCACAGCGTTGTTGACGAGTGTGGTTGAGTTCCTACGATCAGTTTGACCGGCTTTCAATAGTTAGGGTGAGTCCCGGATGGCAACAGAACTTTAGCCTACAGATTGCCGTAACATCAAAATTATCGTCACTCGGGTTACGGTGCCACCCTTCCTCAACTCCCCTCGTTACAAACGGACACAGACGGAGCCGATGCCTAAACAGTTGTCATCCTCGGTTTCCAACCTTCCGTTTGCAAAGTGTTTACAAAGGATCACCATCGTTGTCATCATCATCGTCGTCCGTGAATACCAGCGGCGTACCGTCCTTCGGTGCATTGGATTGAATTTGTAACGAATTAAAAGGAAATTAGTAAAGACTTGAGATCGGGATCGTTTTAAGGAGCGCTGCAGTGGGCTCTCCCTTTAAGGACAGACGGACGGAGCTGACGCGCACGCATGCAAGCTTCAACCTCAGTTGTAATTCGTTATAAATGACTGACGGACTGACTCAGCAGTCGCACCAATCGTGTTTCCCGTAATGTAGGTGGGAGCGATGATGATGATGGTGATCACCCACGGGTCGATTCTCTCCTTCGTAGAAATACGCACCCACGGTAATGAGGGGGGTGCAGAGAGGGTCACGTGTGTGTGTGTGGTTTCAGGAAAGGGCAGTCCTGCACAGATGCCATATATTCTGTCCGTCTGCTACAGCAGAGGTGTAGCGAATTCCAACAAGACCTACATCTCTGCTTTATTGACCTGGTCAAGGCCTATGATACCGTCAGTAGGCCTGGGCTCTGGGTTGTTCTTCGTGCTTTCGTAGTGACTGACCCTCTGCTCACGATCATTAAGGACCTTCATGATGGTGAGAGGGCCCGGGTAAAACTACGTAGCCGAGAGTCGGAGCCATTCCCTGTACACCTTGGGGTGCGACAGGGATGTCGTCTGGCTCCCACATTATTTAACATATTTTGACCACGTAGTTCATGAATCCTTCAATAGCTGTACCAGAGGAGGCTGAGCGATGCCCGGATGCGGTCAAGGGATGGCTCCCTATTGCTCAACCATGTTATGTATGCCGATGATATGGTAATTTCTGCTCATTCAGAGGAGGAGTTGGAGGCGCTGCTGCTGAAACTGGAGCGTGCCACTAAGAGATGGGGCCTTACCATCAGCCCACCAAAACTAAAGCACCTGCCTGGGTATTTTGTGCCATCGGATACTCCACCCCCACAACTCCCATTAGTGAATGGGGCAGTTGTGGAGAGAGTGGAGAGTTTCCCATACCTGGGCAGTGTGCTCATGACCCGCTCCGGTTTAACACCAGAGGTCTCACACCGAATCAGTCGAGCGGCATTATCTTTTCATCGGTTGCGTAACGCTGTGTGGAAGCTAACCGGGTCTGTAGCTCACACAAAGCTTCAGGTCTTCTCGGCCACGGTCATTCCCTCCCTTCTTTACGCTTGCAAAACGTGGACCCCCCTAATGGAACATCTTCGCCAGTTAGAAACATTTAGGCTGGCCTGCCTATGATCCATCCTGGGTTTAACCAGGCTGGATTGTGTGAGGAGCTCTCAAATCCTTGAAAGATCTGGACAAAGTCCCATCGGTGAGCTCCGCTGGCAGGCAAAAGCTGCATTGGCTGGGTCATTTAGCCCGCATGCCCAGCCACCGCATGCCTAAACAGCTTTTGTTCGAACCGGAATGAGGGAGCTAAAACGGCACGGCACGGGCTAGAGAAGAGATGGAGTTATGTGGTACAGGAGGATGTGGAGCTGAGTGGACTTGCCGATGACTGGTTACCAGCGGTGTCAAGATCGGCCTCTGTGGAGGAGGTTCGTTAAGGGACGCTACTGGGCTGTTGGAAGCAGTCGCCCTCCAACAACAACGGAGGGCTGGAGGAGTGATGCTCACAACAACGAGCAGAGCGCCTGGGTGGCTAAAGCACAGCAAGTTGGCACACTAGGGGGCACAGGTGGTGCATCAGCCAGTCGTCTCAGTCAGTCGAACCTGTGGCATCTAGGTCTGCCCCGTGGCATCTAGGTCTGCCCCGTGACCTCCTGCCAGCGGGCGTTCGACACTTCACATGGCACTCAAGGTGCACATAGCCTGGCAACAATCGTCGTGGTGACGTCACCGCCACTTAGTCGCAAATGGCAGTTGTTGTTGTTGTGGGGGTCACTGTGTGTGTGGGGGTCAGCGGTTAGCGCGCTGCGCTACGAACGGCCAACACCAGTGACGATTATCCTGATCTGGTCATGGGCCTCCCTAGGTCGACTTAGCCTCGAATGAGTACCTGGTGTGGTGTGTGAACATCGCCACTGGGGAGACAAAGACGGCCAGGGTGTGGTGGCTAGCCACCCCACCCCCTCGTGTGCCGTGCTGGCCTTCAATAGGTGCTTGCTAACAGCACTTTCCCCAACAGTTCCTGTTAAGTGTATATGGGCGATCTTTGTCTATGTGTGCGCCATTCCTGCCAATCCGAACTCGGCATCCGAATGTCTTGAAATCATGTGAAATATCGAGACACGCTGACGAATCGCCACATTCCCCAGATATTTAGTTGTTTTTTTTTTTAACAGCCACAATATCTCTTCCATCGGAGATCGTCATCGTTTCACTGTCCTCCTTGCTCATCGAGCGTTCCGGTTGTTGATGCGGAACCCGCACAGAAAGTATTTAAATATTTTCGCGTCAGCGTTTTGTTCTCAAATCAACGCCGAACATTGCAATCAGAAGCAGTGTGTTGTGTCTTCCAATCTTAATTATATAAAGCAATGGGACGGGGGGGGGGGTTACGGTGACCCGAGTTCGATTCAACAGGCGCGGCGAACATGGGTGACCAAGCGACACCTCGTAGAAACCCATTGAATCGCGTGAATGGTTGCGTGTCATGCGAATACCTAGGGCAAGACGGGGGAGTGTTTCGATACAGAGGTGTTCAATTGCACGAGTTGAGGGCAGAGCACGAATCTGGTTTCGACCACCTGCGATTAAACCGGGTCGTCGAGTGGCAGGCTGGTTGGGAAAGCGGGTCGCCCTCCTCTGGTATGTGAACCAAAGGTAACTTTGAAGGGTTCTCAGAGGTAGCTCCGTGATGTCCACCTCCATGGGCCCTGCTCCAACCCGAAGGGGGTGGGGGTTGCACTCTCCAGCGAGAGCTCCGATGGGATTCTTTGTCACGTGACGCGGCGCCGATCGCAGAATCGAGAAATACCACGGAGGGAGGGAGGGGGGGGGGTAGGGAAATATTTATTTAAATTTTGACTTAAAACTTTCGTGACTGCCGGAATTCACATGCTTGGTTCTTTCGGTAAAGTCTCGTAGAAAAATATAATGATATTTTTTTATTTTCTATTAATGTGACTTTACCGAAAGAACCATGATTATTTGTTTTGTTATATTTTACAGGGTCTCACAGGACAAGCCGTGCCACATGCGGGTTTCCATCAAATCATTGTTGTGCCTTCACGTTATGCAACTGTCCGTTGCTCCTCGTTGCGACTGACGACTAGGACGGATTTTTATTTTGTTTTGGTTTGGTGACAGAGTTTGAATGTCGTGTTTTCGTGCCATGCAGGCTACCTCGGATACACCAGTGGATTCTCGCTCATGTGCATGGTCTTCTTTCTCATCGTGGTGAGTGACACCCAGCCCTGCTGGGACGCGGTTGTGGGGAAAGTCTGTAGGCTGAGCAGGGGCAGCGGTGATGGGGCAGTTCTGCAAAGTAGGCAACATCTCGGGCAGAATTTCAAATTTGCCTTATGATAACAATAAATATTATCATTAATATCTGTAGTTTTTGAAAATTTAGAGAAATACCGATGCTGCTGCTGGTGTAATGGTTTCTTCACACACAGTGGACTAATCTAAAGGTCATCGGTTTGCTCTCCCGGCGCAGCAGTTGAAACATTGGGGCATGTTTCTGAGATGTCCCTGCGGGCCTGCCTCTGTCCACCCAAGCGGTATCAATGAGGGACACCGCGAGCGGTCGATCGGGAGGTTGCGTGTGGTGGCCAGCGTTGGAAGAGTAGGCCAAGTACCGTCTTAGAGGGGCTGTCTGGAGTCTCTTGTTGAGCCTCTTCCGGCAGCAGTGTCGACGGCGAGCAATTACAGAGCTGCACGTCTGCCTCTCTGGCATGTGGCTTATTTTGTTGGACAAGCCGATGGTTGGGCACACACTCCCAAAACACTCCATCACCCCCATTCCAAGCGTGGATATAAAAATATAAAAAGTTAAAGATTTGTCCTGCGCACATCCGACACCACCACCGTGTTATTTTATGAACATCTATCCCAAAAAAATCCGTAAAGAATGTATACCCCTTCGTCCTATCGTCTCCACCATTGACTCACCCACCTACAAACTGGCCCGATTTATGTCTAAGACCTTACAACCATTCACTGGTAAGACCACCTCAGCTTTACTTAACTCAGCTCACTTGGTATCATTAATTAAGGACATCTCACTATCTCCAGGTGGTATGCTCGTTAGTTTCGATGTGGTTTCTTTTGTTTACAAAAGTTCCTGTGCCTGACACCATTGCAATCATTGAAGATTTGGTCCAACAAGGACTGAATGCTGATGTACCGGCCCTGGTGAGGCACTGCCTCACCAACACTTAATTCACCTGGAATGGAACATTCTACAAACAAGTTGAAGGCACCCCAATGGGTTCTCCCTTATCTCCAGTTGTAGCCAATATTTTCATGGAAAAATTCGAGACAGATGCCATCCAGGCATCCACTCTACGTCCGTCCTTGTGGAAGAGGTACATAGATGACACGTTTGTCATCTGGCCACATGGCTTACCAGCCCTGAACCAATTCCACAACCACATCAATTCCATACACCCAGCCATCAAATTCACCATGGACGTGGAAAAGGATGGCAAGTTACTATTCTTGGATGTTATAATCGAAAAGAAACCAGATGGCTCAATGGGACACTGTCTACAGGAAAGCCACCCATACGGATGCCTACCTAAACCTGACTCCCACTACCATCCATTCCAGAAGAATTCCCTCATCAAAACTTTACACCATAGAGCTCGTTGTATTTCCGACCATTACCACCTAGCCAGTGAACTGGAGCACATACACCAAGCCCTCAAGATGAATGGATATTCAGACTACACAATCCGTAAAGCTATCACCCCAACCGTTGGGAAAGAACCATCTGAGGACCCAATCAAAACCATCACCTTGCCATACATAGCAGGGGTCATCACCACAAAGATTTCCAAAATCATGAGCATACACAAGATCCAGGTTCGATTTAACACAGTACATAAAATTCGTGATCTGATCCCGTCTGTGAAGGATGTTGGGGTGCCTTCAACTTACCCCAGTGTCTACAAACTAAGCTGTGTCTGCAGCAGTAGTTACATTGGGGAACTAAGCAACATGTTTCGGACCGTGTTCGTGAACATAAGGCAGATCTGAAACACGGTAGGACCAATAACTCGGCCGTGGCTGATCATTGTTTTAATGCGGTGGGCTCACACGAAATTGATTTCTTCAAGATGAAGGTACTTTGCAAACCCACTGGTTATGAACAAAGATTCGTTCATGAGGCCATCCATATTTATAGACACAGACACAATTTCAACCGCGAAGATGGGTACAAACTGAGCAATCATTGGACGGACGTTATTAACCAGTTTAAGTCATAACTGGCTGTGATGTTTCCACCCTACCTTCCAATGTTAGTTGTTATTTTGGGCTCTCTGATTTTACGTTAATAGCTTAAATTTCTCACATTAACACAGCCACCTCCGCGCCTTCCGTCGTGGACGTCGTCCTCCGATCTTACATTAACATGCTAATTTCTCACATTAACATCTTTATAACATCTCTAGCCCCGCCCACTTTGTTTATGGCCCTTGGGCTACATCCATTCTAAACCTTTAAAACAGTCTGCCTTATCAGCTTTACTCTTTTTTTGTCCTGTTGACGACCACTTGTGTTGCGATCGAAACGTCGTAGTTTTTTTTGTTATTTTCTTTCAACCTATCTACGTGACTTTACCGAAAGACCCAAAGAATATTATCTATCCCTTCCCGAGGAAGGTGGACTAATTGTTCCCGTCTGATTCACAGTCCTAATTGGTTTGGCAAACTGTACCCGAAGTAAAAAAAAAAAACAATCCCACTTGCATGGTTAAACTAACGACGAATTACCCACCCATGTTTCCTTCCAGCGCAACAAATACCTACGGTCCAAAAACATCGGAGCCCTCCCAGCGGCAATGACGCCGTCCGCTGGGGCTCATTAACGAAGAATTAAATGTCTGGACGAATACGTTCAACGGCCGGGTCACGGCGTGCCGCGGTCGCCCCTGACCCGTGTGCTTCAACGAGCGAAGTCAAGCGTGTGTCGCGTACTTAATTAAATAAACGCCCCTCTCGCCCCGTTATTTTCAAGAAGCGCCCGTCGTTGTGATTTAGCAACGAGGGTCGCGGGACAAGCAGAACGGACGCATTTAAATTGTGTACCAGTTTCAGCTTCCCTCTCCATTGATACATTGTCAGTGCGCTGAATCATCATCATCATCATCACCCTAACTGGTGTTCACAGTGGCATCGTCGTCACCACCATCGTCGTCGTCATCAAAACTGCAACAGCGTGACTAAAATAGAGATAACCCAAAGACATCGTCGCCATCCTACGATATTGATCTTGGTACAGATTTAATAAAAAAAATGTTTGTCCATCATTCCGAGAACCAAAAGTAACAGCAAGGATGAGGAATACGCCGCGAATCTTGGGGAAACGCGTCCCCCTTTCCAAAATTTCAACTTCTTTCTTCAGACGGCGTGATCTTCACCTGGAGAGCGGGCCGACAGGTTGCGCGTAGCTAACAGCTCTGCCACCTGCGAGTCGCAAAACATTCGATATTTCAGCGAGTAGCAGACAAGAGTGGGGATCGCACTCCATTCATCGTTGAGCACGGTTCGGAGTAAACGCTGTCCTGACCTTTTTTTTTTCTCTTATTACTACACGCGCAGGTGATTTACAAGAAGTTCCAGATCACCTGCCCGGAGGAGGAGGAAAATCTCAAGTCGTACCTCAACGAGACGACCCTTTGGAACGTCACTCAGGCGGTGCCGCTGACGACGCAGCCGCCGCCCGACGCTGGGAACGAGCAGTGTGTGGCGCATTACGTCACCATCAACGCCAAGGTGCGACCGTGGGGCACCGTGACAGAGCGGACACACGCGCGGAGCAGCGGTGGTTCCGCGCGCAGGTCTACACGAGTAGACCTGATGACGGGCGCTTGTGTTGCGCCCGAAACGTCGTGATTTTTTTTTTATTTTCTACCTACGTGACTTGACCGAAAGAAACAAAGAGTATGGATTCCTGCAGTCACGAAAGCTTCAAATCAAGAATGAGTAGACTCGTGGTTGTGCTTCGTCGTCGTCGTGATCATCGCTCGTAATTAATCATTGGGTTAGGCCACGCAACGATCTGGCCAAAATTGTGCCGTTGTACCAAATTGCTAAACTGGCTCTGTGAGAATTTGTTCTTCCGTTTATAATGTACGTATGTTGAACTTCTTCCACACCGTACGTAGCCAACCGTGCTAATCGGAGGTGCGGTGGAAGGACAACAAACTAAACCACCGTGATTGGCGTGCGTAGTTGAGTTGCGTGTGCACCGCGCGATTGCTTTGGCTCTGTAGGGTGGTGCGGAGTCTTCATCGTACCAAGTGAGCCAGAGACCCAAAATCAATTTGGGAGCTGTAATGTTTGCTGCCAAGAGCTACGTGGTTAAGCCCATCGTCTCCACAATTGTATTTTACAATTCTACCTCTTGTCAATCCACTGCTGGACGAAGGCCTCGCCATGCAGTGCGGGTCGTGGCGGCTGTTTGATTTGAGGCTCACTTGGATCAAAGCACTCGCCGGCCACCGCGTGTCGGGGAAAGCTGGGAGCATATACAGCCCCGGCAGCGTAGCACAATCATGGACCTGTCTGCGTTGCTGCCCGCTGCGTGGCCCGGCACGCAGCCTGCAGTGCCTGCGAATCGTAGGAAGTTGTATTTTTAAATCCCCATTGACTCGCGCGAGCGCACGCCGTTCATTGCCGCGCGTGTGTACCACGCGGCCTCAAGCCTCGGCGTTCATCGGCGAGCGCTGCGCATCGTGGCACCCCCGTCGAACGGCGGGCCCCAGGTGCCACGTTGAGTCACGTGGTTTTGGGCGCAAGCGGCCGGGGCGGTTTCTTGGCTTCCCATTGCAACAGGGGCGCGCCGGCCCGGCCCGGTGTGCTCGTCGCGCGGCCAAGTCTCTCTTACCAAGGGCGTCCCTCTCTTGAAGCGGCGGTGCTGCTCGCCGGCTGTTGGCGACGAAGCTACGGCGTTCGTCGCCGCGTGCCGCGGGTACCGGGCGGACGCCGTGGGTACCGCGTGCGTAGAGGCGCTGGTGGCGGTGGTCGCGAGGAGCCCGTTAGGTGTGTGGGGGGGTGGGGGGTGCGGCTACTGACCCTGCGTGCGGAGCTGTTGCCCCTCATTGCCCATCGGCAACTCGGACACGGCTGCCAAACGGCGGGCAAAGTGCACGTGGATCGAGAGAGGGGGAGAGCCGCGCTTGATTAAACCCTGCTATGTGTCACCAAGCGAGTTGTGTTGCAAGAACAAAACTGTTGTGCAGGAAACATTCATTACCATTTAGTTCTTATCAAATCCACTCTGGCCTCTTTGTGCTGTGAAAAAGGGCCAATGTTTTCATATAGTATATATGTAATAGGAAACGTTTCAAGCAATGGGCCTTCTTCATAGCACATGAAGAAGGTGTGCGTGTGTGTGTGTGCGGGGAGCGGTAGTGTAGCGGTTAGCACGCTCCGCTATGAACCTGGTGACCCGAGTTCGATTCCCCCTAGGTCGATTCAGCCATTGGGGAGACAAAGGCGGCCGGCCGTGGTACTGGCCGCCCACGCCCCTCGTGTGCCTTCACAGGTGCTCAGTAACAGCACTTGCCCCAAGAGTCTGTTAAGGCTGTCCGGAGGATCTTTGTCTTTGCGAGGACACACGTGTGTGTTTCGGGGGGTGGTGGGGGGGACAGGTGTGTGGGTGTGTGTCCAGGGCGAGGTGTGTGATTGGTGGAGAGTTTAGGGGGCGTTGGGAATCCGGAAGTTTGCAGGGTTTTTTTATTTTTTTATTAGACAATAGCCACTTGTTTCAAAGTGCAAAATACCCACAGGGAGTGAGAGGGTAGGGGCCGGTCGTCTGTCTAGTGGGTCACGTGACATTGATTTTAAAATCGATGCTTGCGCTCGGGGTGGGGGGGGGCGTGTGCGGCCCTCTCTGCCAACCGCCGCTGGGCGAGGGGCCTCCTCCCCACGTTCTACCCCGCGTGGGGTCGTGGCGGGGGTCATCGCAGGGGTCGCGCCGGGGTTACTCGACAGCGCTTCACGCTGGACAGCGCAGGTTGCTTAGAGACGTTGGGGAGCCATGGACGGGTGAGCGTAGCACAGTACGACCACGGATGTTTCCGCACTGCCCTCTGCTGACAAAGTAGCCCCCCCCCCCCCCCGTAGCAGCAACAGCAGCAGCAGCCTGTGGCACCCGCTATGCACGGCGGTCTCCCGTTGCAGCCACTCTCCAGGCTCACCGTGGCCCCCAGCAGCAGGGGGCGCCTTCGCCCCCTTCGGCTCCCGATCCGAGCCCCGCGGCCACCCCGGTTAGCCCCGCCGGGGGTGCGCGAACACCGTGAGTGGCGTCCACCGTCGTGTGCCAGCGTCACGCGCGGGCCCGGCCAGGGGGGGGGGGGGGGGGGGGGGGGCCCCCGGGGGGGGGGGCCCCCCTTTTGCCTGAATCGCTGCGGAAGGACGTTGAGTTCCGTCGGCGGTGCCGCGGCGATGATGAATTGAGGTGCGACTGGAGAGCAGCGGGGGTCACGGGAGGGAGGGGGCGGGGGGGGGGGGGAGACCTCGCGCGGCAACGAGAACCATCGCAGTGCTGCCGCTGTCCACGACGTGGAATGCCGAGGGTCGCGCGTCCCGGGGAGGAGGGGGGGGCAGGGGGGGGTAATGGTGTCAGGGTTTGACCCGGGGGGGGGGGGCGGGGGACGACTTGTTTCCGTGATTCGGAACGGGCCTACTGGAGCGTTCAGCGGTGCCGTTCGTTACGTTGCGCGCGGGGGGGGGGGTGTCACAGGAGTCGTTCCAGAGAGCCGCCGGCGATGTGGGGGGGGCGACAGGGGAGGGTGGTGGTCTTACCCAGAACGTGAATTGTACAAAATACACAAAATGGACCAAATCGCCCACGGTGGCGTCCCGATTTGTCCCCTGGTGACCTGAGAAGCTAAGCGCCGGTTGAGCCCGGACAGCGCTGGGACGGGCGAGCGCCGTGCATAGCAGGCGTCGTGGGCCGCGAGCAGAGCGGCACAATCCAACGTTGTGCCGATCGCCACGGCGACCGACGCATTAAAAATAAAACCCAAACCGGCATCACGCGAGGAGGCCCTCGTCCGGCAGTGGATTGGCAAACGGCCGTAGACGCACAGCGGCGACGATGCTCGCCGCTGCAGCGCGTGAAGCTAAACGGCGGAGAGGTGGGGGCTCATCTTTGTGTTTTTGTCGCAGACGGCCTACACCGTGCCCATCCTGGCCTTCGCGTTCGTCTGCCACCCAGAGGTGCTGCCCATATACACGGAACCTGCAAAAGTAAGTTGTGGCACGGGGACACACGGGGACACACGGACACACACGGGGACATACGGACACACACGGGGACACACACGGGGACACACACGGGGACACACACACAACGATCCCCCTTATAGCCTCAACATACTGTTGGGGCAAGTGCTGAAGGCGGGCACGCCACACGAGGGGGTGGGTGGCCAGCACCACGCCCGGTCGCCTTTGTCTCCCCAGTGGCAATGTTTACTGCACACCGCACCAGGTACTCATTTGAGGCTCAGTCGACCTAGGGGAGGCCCAGGACCGGCTCAGATAATCGTCACTGGTGTTGGCCGTGAGCGGGAATTGATCCCGGGTCGCCGGGTTTGTAGAGCACACGCACTAACCGCTACACTTCCACTTCCCTTACGCACACGCTGACACACCGAGTCCGACTCTGGACTCGGGTACGTTATTTTTCTATGTTCTACCCCTGTTCCGCAATGGGTTACTTCTGGGTTCTCCCGTAGCTAAAAAAAAAACGAATTGCTGCACCTGGCGGTATTGGCCAAACACCCATATACTTACAAATACAATGACCGACAACTCACCCGATGGACATATCGCCTCGCAACATCGCCACCCCGACTGCAAAAACCCCGGTAGAGCCAAGGTGAGAGGTTGCTGGGTAAGCAAGTGTAATCATAAAATAACGGTCGCCGTGATGCATTCCCTGCTGGATGAAGGCCTCCCCAGGTCCATCGCCATCACTCAAAGTGTCGCGATATAACGATCCACCCTGCACACGAGGTAATCCTCTCCGCACCATCTCTGCGGTTGACGCTGTCCCTCCCTTGGAATCCCTTCCTGTCGATCGCCGGCCACCAAACCTTCTAGCCCGTTAAATAAAATCCTTTGCTTACCTTTTTGCGACAGTCAGTCTGCTGCCATTAGCGTGGTCGTTCATTGCACGTACAATGAATGACCACGCTACGGAGTGACTTGTCATATTCTCACTTTTGAAAAGCGAAACTAAAGGGGACTCCTCCTGCCCGCGCTGCCTAGACATTGTTCGCCACTGTCTCAAGGAAACCACAATGTGTTACTGGAGGTTTTGGGTGGTTGTGTGAAATGGGCCACCACGCTGATTAGTAACACGGTGGTGAAGGGGGCAGCCATGCAGGCCCGGGCCAGATGTCCGATGAAAATTGACGTTGGGCCCCCCCCTGCCCGAGACTTGTACTTGCATCGCTGGGTTTTGTTGCTCAAGTGCCTAAGCACCTGGCCACCACTAACTACCACCACCACCACCACCACACATAAACTACTTTACCACAATATCGAGCTCTTATGCTCATGGTCAACTCTTTATTGTCCATTGGGAATTGTAGTTTTAAAGGTTGCCGTTATATATACACTGTATATATATTTTTATCGTTGTAAAGCATGGACACCCACTTTTTTGCCACGTGGCTTAAATGCGGTTTGCAATACAGCAGCGGCCCCTGCTGGTTTGAGTTTTACACGGCGGTGTTAGACGTGGCAGCAAATCATCAAGTACAGGACTGTGAAATCAATTATCACGCTCACTATGCTACGTAATTGAACAATTTTCATTGGCAACCAGGCTGAGACCATAATTGGCTTGAGAACCCGGTTTAGCAAGTCTGTATTGTCCAACCCCATTGTTCTCGGGCCTCTCCCGTGACCTACCGGGTCACCGAAGATGTTGCGGAGTCTCTTAATAACACGCGGCGAGTTGTCACTCGCTCACCGCTGCCAGCGCAGGATCAAATCGTCTCTCGTTAACCGAGCTCGCTTCTGGAAGCAACGCCGTTTGCCGGCCGGGCAACGCTGACCGCTGGGAATTTCTGCGCCGCGTGAGTCTGACCGCTGGGGATTTCTCCCCAGGCCCACTCGTCGCCGCATGCAGAAGGTGGCCAACCTGTCGGTGTTCACCATGTTCATCATGTACCTCCTGACGGCCATCTTCGGCTACCTCACCTTCTACCGTGAGTACCCGTGCCCTTGGGACGGCTGCATCGCCACCAGGGTAAACCACGGTACACCACGGAACACCAGGGTACACCACGGAACACCACAGTACACCATGGAACACCACGGAACACCATGGTACACTAGGGTACACCACGCAACACCAGGATACACCACGGTACACCATGGTACACCAGGATACACCACGATACACCACGGTACACCAGGATACACCAGGGCACACCACGGTACACCAGGATACACCAGGGCACACCATGGTACACCAGGATACACCACGGTACACCACGGTACACCAGGATACACCACACAACACCATGGTACACCATGGTACACCAGGATACACCAGGGTACACCACGGTACACCACGGTACACCAGGATACACCACGCAACACCAGGGTACACCACGGTACACCAGGGCACACCAGGATACACCATGGTACACCACAGTACACCAGGATACACCACGCAACACCAGGATACACCATGGTACACCAGGGCACACCACGGAACACCAGGGTACACCAGGATACACCACGATACACCAGGATACACCACGATACACCACGGTACACCAGGATACACCTCAGTACACCACGGTACACCACGATACACCACGGTTGCCGCTTTGTAGACCATGGGAACGATTCATCGCCAGAAATGGCGACGTCTCCAGATAGGCCGTCAGTGGTGGATTTATCGAAAATGCTCTTTAAGAATAATAATCGCAATAAACAATCTCCACCGGCGTGGCGATTTGATGAATTATCTAGGTTAAGTTTTTTGTTTACCTTGTGGTGGCTGTAGCGGCCTCTAGTGGCTGTTGTGAACTGAACACTTTATCACACACGGAAGATCATAGCCCCCCATTGCCAATCCACTGCTAAATAAAGGCCTCCTCACGTCAGTCAAAGGAGGTGGCTTGACCTCGCTTGAACCCATCACGTAGAGCACACGGCACCGACTCAAGCACGTGGTTATTCGACACCTATATTGTCAAGCTTGGGTGTATTGACGAAACATCGTTACCATACCCCCACCGGCCCGGATGAAACTTAAACAAGAAACCAGGGGATAAAAAACAGCTGTAGCGTGCCGCAACAGGTCGAGATACGGCAGCCGTTGGCAGCGGATTGTGAGCGCTTCCCACCATCACCACCATCACCACCCACGTGTAGCGTGTGATGGAAGTTCCCGTGACCCTCCTCACCCAACCCCCCACAGAGACGGTTGAGGACGAGCTGCTGCACCGCTACAAGAAGGAGGATCAGCTGATCCTGTGCGTGCGCCTCGCAGTGCTCATTGCCGTCACGCTCACCGTGCCCATCGTGCACTTCCCGGTACTACGCTCGCTCTCGCACGCGGAAGCCGGTTCGTAAGTACGGGCGTTCGTAAGTCGAGGGCTCCCTGTACTTGTTGAAGGCTGAGTCGACCTGGGGGAGGGGGGGGGGGTGGACAGGACCGGTTCAAATATTTGCCACTGTTGTGGGTGGGAATTGAACTTCGATCGCTGGTTTTCGTTGCACAGCGAGCCAATCGCTGCACCACCACTCCCCCCACACGTGTACATACACCTCCATGCCTGTCCATACACATGGGCACACACACCACATATTTCTGTTTGCGTTGTTTATTTTGTCTCGTCCATAAGCCTCAACGTAACACTCTGTGTTAATGACTAGACTTACTGCCCGGCTTCGCCCAGGACTTGGATTCTTGCCTTGGATTAATAGACGGCCTTCGCGGAGGGTGGGGGGGGGGGATGCGTGACGTCAGCAGGCACACTGCGTGACGCTGCCGCATACCGGTGACATCACAGATGTGACGTCACCGCTCACTTGCCGTGCAAAATATTACATCCATTATTGCGCCCCGCCCCCCCCCCCCCCAAAATACGAAAGTCTATTTTTATACTGTTTGCATTGTGTACAGTCTGGAAAGTACCCACATGCCAAATTTCAAGTTTGTAGCATGTCGGGAAGTACGCTAAACATTTCGAACAGACACACATATTCATAAATTTTCCTTTTATATTTATATACATAGATACTCGCTCATGGCAAGCACACGCGTGTGCCTGCTCCGTTGTTCCAGGTGCGCAAGGCCATCCTGGAGATGCTGTTCCCGGGAAAGCCGTTCAGCTGGGTGCGCCACGTCCTCATCGCCGTGGCTCTGCTCTCGGTCATCGTCACCCTCGTCATCACCGTGCCCAACATCCGCGACATCTTCGGATTCATAGGTGGGTACCGCCACCAGCCACTCACTCACTCACCCACCCACCCGCCCGCCACTCGCTCACCCGTCACTCACTCACCCACCCGCCACTCGCTCACCCGCCACTCGCTCACCCGTCACTCACTCACCCACCCGCCACTCGCTCACCCGCCACTCACTCACCCGTCACTCGCGCACCCGCCTGCCACTCGCGCGCCCACTTGTAGCTCACTCGCGTGCCCACTTGTAGCTCACTCGCGCGCCCACTTGTAGCTCACTCGCGCGCCCACTTGTAGCTCACTTGCGCGCCCACTTGTAGCTCACTCGCGCGCCCACTTGTAGGTCAGTCGCGCGCCCACCGCTCACTCGGACCCACGCCACTCACTCGCGCACCTGCCTGCGTCGCTCACGCGCCCGCGCCACTCGCGAACCGACCCGTTACTCTATCGCACAACTCACTCGCTCCTTACCCGCCACTCACTCACCCGCCACTCACTCACCCGCCCGCCACTCACTAACGCACCGAGCCGACGCTCACATGCCCACTCGCCCAGCTGCCACTCACTCGCAGGTGCACTCACCCGCCACTCACCCGCCACTCACTCGCAGGCCCACTCACCCGCCACTCACCCGCCATTCACTCGCAGGCCCACCCACCCGCCACTCACCCGCCACTCACTCGCAGGCCCACTCACCCTGAGCCGGTGGTGGAATATTCCTTTGGTGGGGGACAAGTGGTTGGGGCAATAACGCGGCCCATCCTCCCTCCGGAGTAAATAAAACGTATTCTTGGTTCTTTCGGTAAAGTCACGTATAAGGGAAACAATAAAATAATATAAATATAAAACAATAAATATTTTTATTATTTTACTGTTTCCCTTCTACGTGACTTTACCGAAACAACCAAGAATATGAATCTCTGCAGTCACGAAAGCTTTAAATCAAAATTTAAATAAAACGTGTATAACTTTGTGGGGAAGTTATGGATATACTGGGCCCTGCCATAGGAAGGTGTAATTTCCACCTCTGGCCCAGGGCCGCTAACAGGAGATGGTTACTTCAATGATGATGCTCACTGAAACGAAATGGGTGCGAGCCGATGACCCATCAACCACCATCTGTGCCTCCACCCCAGGTTCCACCTCGGCTCCCTGTCTCATCTTCATTTTCCCGGCCATCTTCTACATCCGCAACGTGCCCGAAGACAAGGAGCCCATGAGATCACCGCAGAAAATCGGGGTGAGCAGCGGCAAAATGTGGAGGCGTCACCGCTGGGTTTGGATCCAGGTTTCAGCCACCCCACGATGACACCGGTGTATCGGAATTGATGGTGTAAGCCCAGTCACCAACGACTTGCAGGGGAAAAAAACCTATCACATTTTATTTGGTTCTGCACTTTAAAAATATCACGTGCGTCAATAACACGTCCCTAAAAAGGGGAAAAATATATATAAATAGGCGAGGTTACGGACAATGGCCCTACTTCATGAAACACACGTGGCCTATGATATACTTTCGAAAGGCAGCGCTATTGGCACGTGTGTTGAATTTTGCACCAATGCAAACGTGGCAACACCAAATTCTTTATCAGTTTGACTGCCATACAACAAACATTACGTTCGGTGGCAGAGAGAGGAAGGCAGCGCTGCCCCCTACCGAGTGTACCAGAGGTCACTTGTCAGAGGTAGCTCTGTGATATCTACTTCCCCCCCAGGCCGTTGTTTCGCAAAGGCTTGCCACTGAAAAAAAAGGTTCGAGGAAGGGGACCACAGTCAGCGGCAATCATCCCGAGGGTGATCCTACCTCCACCATTGTGGACAAGGCGTACACAGCACCTGCCTTCAAACAAATGGCGATGTTGCTACGTGTTTTTTTTTCTCCCAGTTAACTAAACCTCTGGTTCGTAAGTACGGGTGTTCGTAAGTCGAGGACTCTCTGTACCTGTTTAAGGCTGAGTCGACCTGGGGGGGTGGGGCAGGACCAGTTCAAATATATGCCACTGTTGTGGGTGGGAATTCAACTTCGATCACTGGTTTTGTAGCACAGCGAGCCAATCGCTGCACCACCACTCCCCACACGTGTACATACACCTACACGCCTGTCCATATACATGGGCACACGCACCACATTTCTGTTTGCGTTGTTTATTTTGTCTCACCCTTAAGCCTAAATGTATCGCGCTGTATTAGCTATAATCAATCTCTCTTGCAATGTCCCCAGGCGGCGCTCTTTGGGCTTCTGGGTGTGGCGTTCATGGTGATGAGCCTGGGACTCCTCATCAACAACTGGGTTTCTCCGGAGGCTGGTGGCTCCGTAGGAGGCCACTAGGTGGCCCCCCCCCCCCCCCCACCTGTTCCACCTCTACCTCCCTGCACCAAGCACAATGGCCACATCCCATTTGGGTCCTTAACAGCAAACGTGGGACAAGGAGGGCGACTGCTGCAGCTACCGCCGCTCCTGCCGTGTGAATTCGGAGGTCTGCTGCAGGGAGTTTTGGCCCCTATATTTTAGCTTAACAAGGTAGCCTTTTACATCAACTCTGATCCCTCACTCGAGGGTAAGATGTCTCTTTTAAGCGGAGAATTTTAAAAAAACAGGGTTTTCTGTCGAGTCAAATTGGTAGTTGAACGTTTATTACGTTTTGTCAAAAAAGTTAAAGTGTCTCTCCCCTGCTCAAATGAGGATTGTGAGGCAGCGTTTTATCTCTCCGTTGCTTTGAGAGCCAGGTATGGAAATTCCACATTACCACTGTGGCAGAGGCTGGGCCAATGGTTCCCAGCCTATTGCTCGTCGCGTTCCCCTTTCCAGCCCTATCTCACCTGTCCGCTTGGTTCCTGCCAGCATGTAGACTTTACAAGCCACATTTACCCCCCCTCCCCCCCTCCATTTATCAGTTGCACGTGCAGCGACCTAGAGCATCTCAAAGTCCATTAACCGTGAACAGGTCCCAACAAGCACGTGTAGCGACCCAGGGCATCTCAAAGTCCATTAACCGTGAACTGGTCCCAACAAGCACGTGTAGCGACCCAGGGCATCTCAAAGTCCATTAACCGTGAACTGGTCCCAACAAGCACGTGTAGCGACCCAGGGCATCTCAAAGTCCATTAACCGTGAACTGGTCCCAACAAGCACGTGTAGCGACCCAGGGCATCTCAAAGTCCATTTACCGTGAACTCGTCCCAACAAGCAAGTGTAGCGACCCAGGGCATCTCAAAGTCCATTAACCGTGAACTGGTCCCAACAAGCACGTGTAGCGACCCAGGGCATCTCAAAGTCCATTAACCGTGAACTGGTCCCAACAAGCACGTGTAGCGACCCAGGGCATCTCAAAGTCCATTAACCGTGAACTGGTCCCAACAAGCACGTGTAGCGACCCAGGGCATCTCAAAGTCCATTAACCGTGAACTGGTCCCAACAAGCACGTGTAGCGACCCAGGGCATCTCAAAGTCCATTAACCATGAACTGGTCCCAACAAGCACGTGTAGCGACCCAGGGCATCTCAAAGTCCATTAACCGTGAACTGGTCTCAACAAGCGACCACTGAAACAACTGCCGGCTCCACAGCCCTCTTCAAGAGTAGCCAGATCCAACAATTCAAGTGAACACAGCGCCAGCGTGTACGCGACAGCACCTCTGCAAGGGGGTAGGCGTCTTCAGACATGAGGTCTCAATGGGCACAGACAGCACTGTCCTGTTTGATGGTACTATTCAGTGGCACACAGCACAGACTTGTAGAGTCGTCACTGCACGCCCTGGGCGTTCGATGCTGCATCTCCCTCTCTCCATCCTCGTCTCACGGACCGCGCCTCCCTTTCCCTGTGCCCACTTTTATCCTCAACACCCGCACCCCCAGCTCCAGTCCTCCCACCCCTCGCGCTTCTGTTGCCCTTGTGTAGAAGCCAACATTACTTGTCTAGCTCACCCCCCCCCCCCCATCTATCCGTGCCGCTTGGGCTCACCCCAGACTGTACCGCGTCGGTCGCTGCACATGGAATTCAAATGCCGCACAACGTACGAGCACAACTGTAGGAAATGCTCGTGGCCAGAGGTTAGAGCAGCACAGCTTCGGCAACTCCCACGTGACTACACCCCACGTGACCACCACCACCACTACGCTATTCGTCTGTTGTACCCCCAGGGGTATGCGGTCCCCGTAGAGATGCCACTCAGCGCCCCCTTGAGAGGCCTTGCCTTCAGCCTCCAAACTGCTGGGCTAGACTCGCACGATCGCCGTTAATTTCCACACAAAGCGGTCCTTCTTTTGTCAGCCCTGGTGGTAGGATGGGCTGAGTCGACCTCCAACCCATGATAGGATTTAATTGTTTATCCCCCCCCCCCCTTCCTTTCTGACAACCCGTTAGAATCCGTTCCTCCTCAAAAGTTTGCAGTATTTGTTTTGTACAAATCTTAAGTGGAATTCTTTGAGCAAGCACGTGTATTATCCGACACGTACGAGTCCTACAACAAGTCTTGAAATTACTGGAGTATATTTTTCTTCTCCACCAGGATTTTCGTTTTGTTCGGGTACGAAGGTTTCAGATGCCACTGCGAGGCGATCTTTTTCGTTCGCTGTAAAATCGAGGTGGGGATGAATCTGCACCAGCCCTGCAATATCCTTGCACGCACCACCTGTTGGCAGGGGAGGGGCCCTCTCTGCCAAGGAACGGCCCTGCGAGGGGATTTTGGCCACCTCTTATAACGCTGGCCAAACATCTGTTATACCGGATGTACTTACCCACAACCCACCCTTCCCCACTTCATGCGATATGCTGACTGACGAATCGGCTCGGCATTCCAGGTTTGGGGGGGTGAGGGTGTGGGGGGGTTGAGGGTGTGGGGGGGTGTGGGGGGGGTGAGGGTGTGGGGGGGGGGTGAGGGTGTGGGGGGGGGGGTGAGGGTGTGAGGGGGTGAGGGTTGAGAAACTTGCCCCCCTCCCTCCATCATTTCAACTGCCGCCACTCGCTGGGAGATGTGAACCGGTGACCCCTCTGGAGTGCGAGTCCAGCGTGCCGGCCCGCTAACGCCACCGCCGCCGTGGGTAGCCTGTCCCCTGCGAGTCTAGGCACCCGTCCGCAATAATCCCGTTACACCCGCCACCCACCCACCCACCCACCCCGGAGATCCCCGCCTCACTGTGCCCTCCTCCCGTCTCGTGACAGGAAGAAGTTTTAATGGTATTCTTGTTCGGTATCGTTTAAGCAGCCTTGACCAGATTTGTCATTTGAAAAAAAAATGTCATTATTTAAAAACAAGGGAGGGGAAGAGACTGAAACTGTCAGTGTGTTTTAGCATGTATAACGCTACAGCTGTGGAGTAATTAAGCAAATTGTTTTGGTGACACTGCATGGGCAGTGGTGCACAAGTAAAATAACTTTTTAACAAATAACACTGCGGCCGTGAAAAGGACAACAATAAATGATGAGCAACGTTTTAGACAATGGCCCTCCTTCGCAGCACACACGTGATGATGAATGTGCTATTAAGATCATCGACGTCTGTGATAGCCATTAAGACTCTTTGCCCTCAAACGCCAATTCTTACATATATTTCCTTTTTTATGCACGTTCAACCTCTTTTGCACATAGCCAACCGTGCTAAATCGGGGGAAGGACATTCTTGATTCTTTCGGTAAAGTCATGTAGATAGAAACAAATAAATGTAAAATAAAAATAATAAAAATAAATTGAAGATAAAAGCAAATACCCCACAAAAAAATGTTAAGTAAAAATACATTGAAAATAATCAAAGCAACCAACAAAAATACAGCAAACTAAACTTTTTTAAGGCCACAGTGTTATTGACAAACGTGTTGACTGTTTTTTTTAATATATAAAGCAATCAGAACTCACGAATATTATAAGTATTACAAACATTGCTACTGTTATTGAAAACAGATGTCAGCTAGCAGTCACAATGACAGTTCTAATCATGCGAGAGTATTTAAAAAATGATCTTACAGTAGCGACACGTGGAGTAACGTAGAACGCTAAAGGACTCCACACTTGAAAATGTGAACAGCTTGGGCAGTCACGTCCTGGGGTTTGTCACGGGGAAAATTGTTGAACCTCTCCAGATTTTAAAGCCACTTAACTTTTTAAGTGTTTGGATTGAATAGACAGGCATTGAAAGCGCCTGGAAGGTACTTGTTGGTAATGGTTTTTTTTGCTGGTAAAAAACGAAAATACTTTTTACAAAATCTCCATCCTTGAAATAATAACCGTTTTGTAGATGCTGTGTAAAAGTGTGACACGATCCTGTGTGGAATTTAACACGGAAACTCCCATGACTCGAGACTTGGTTGTACACCTTAAATCGCATTTACAATTGACAGAACTTTGTTGTCAATCCACTGCCTCTATGGATGAAGTACTGGCTCAGATAATCACTCGCCACCTCACGTTTTAGGTGTCGCTACCAGGAGCAGAATCTTGGATGGCTGGCCTGCTTTCGCAGTCCGTCCCACCCCACAAAGCAAATTATCCAAAAAAGCGTCAGGGGAGGGGAGTTGCGGCGCCTCTCGTACAACTGTTATTGCAATCGGGTGCAATGTTTCCATTTTTTTATTCCAAATTGAATGTCATAAAACGTTTGTATTATCAAGGGGGCATTACAGCTCTGGTGACACTTGATATTCCGATAACACCTTATCAAGACTGCTCTGAAACCTCGGAGGATGTTTAATTTGTTTGAATTCCACAAAGGATCCTCTACGGTTTAAAAAAAAATACGAGGAACATCTGGCAAGACTTTTTCGAGCAGCACATGAGTTGCAAAGTGTTGTGAAGTCTGATATATATTTTTGTACCTGAATTTTAGAAGTCAACTTTTTTTGCAACTTTTAACCTTTCCATGCCGACTTAAGATTGCAAACGATGCTTTTGTCTCTCTTTATTTTTACTCCCGCCCCTCGCTTGTTTCGTTCGTGAGGACACGCGGGAAAGCGTGGCAGATGAGAGACTTTAAAGTGGAGAAGTAATGGAGTAGAGTTTGTGTCGGCTTTGTGTGTTTCCGCGTAAAAAACAAAATCGTGCAAAATGATTTCACGAACAAAAGGTTAATTTGGGTTCCGTGAAACGCGGCGCTAAAACCGCATAGCACCCGTTTTGACCCATCTGCAAAGCTTGGCACGACGCACTTACACTTAATTTTAAAAGTGAAATGTTCAATACGTGTGGTTTATTTCAGTGGCGTTACGTCCCGCTTGAACCCGTCCGAACTTGCATTCATGCGTCAAGATTCACCAGGCGATGCTCCGGCAAACGGAGCACCCTCTTGGCATGTCCGCACACTGCAGTGACAAATATTGCCCCAACATTCTCCAACGGCTATGGCAGAAGGAAGCAATTTTCACTCGACGCTGCCGCCAATTCATCCTTCGGCTCGCGACACGCACGCGGTGGAACTCCCGCACAGGTCGGATCATATTCGCGGTGCATTTGGTATTCGTGCAGTCCCGTGCAGTGCACATCGCTTCAAAGACCATCAGGGCCTGCTGCAGTGGCTTTGTAGGACGGGGAAATGTTTGCCACGTGGCTCCCCCCCCCCCCGTCCAATCATGACATTTGCAAATGTACAAACATTTGCACCGTGACGCCGGCACCAAATGGCCTACCATTTTTGGAATGCCACCACCTGATCTTAACGTGCGCTCTGAAGCAGACTGGATATAACTTTGATATATTTTTTCCTTCAGATTGTACACAGGCAGTGTTGACCAGTGCAGCGTTGACCAGTGCAGCGTTGACCAGTGCAGCGTTGACCAGTGCAGCGTTGACCAGTGCAGCCGCTGGCTTTGAACGACGGATGCTTGCAACAAAGCAGGGACCGTTATTTTTAAACTCCGCTCGACGTCACAGGTCGTAGGGTTCACGCAACTCCTGCAGCCACTAGTGGCCGTTAAATTCGCTCAGTGTTGAATATGAAGTATCCAGGTTGCGGCGATCCATCCAATTTGCCTGCGTGAGTGGCGAATCCTTTCGCATTATCGGTACTTTTACAATTTTTCAGAAATGTCCATAACTAGTTGAAGGTGATGCACAAGAATAGCCTGCGCATGTGATCGACGACAAACCCCCCGTGTGGTCTTCAACATCCTAGCACATACTTTACGGCGCACATGGGGACAGGACGAATGTATGCAGACCTTCTTTCGCGACCTATATACCGTGCGCACATTGCCGAAGTGACTGGACAGCCACTGAACTGGTTACAGGCAAACAAGCCGGCCAGCTCGTTACAATTCCAACCACTTTTGCCCAGGAATTTACAATATCTTGTCGGTTCATCGCTGGGTGACGCTCTATCGCCCCACGTGGGTCGTGTGGATCTTTAGAGAAACGCTCTTCACCATGCTGGTCGGTAGACAAAGCGATGAAGGCGGGGAGCATGAATGTGGGAGCATAGAAGTACAGCGCAATAATGGATTCGGCTGAACTTCCCTCTTGCCCACAATCATTTTTGTTCATGTATGCTACCATATTTTTTGTTTTATAAACACTGCCGTCGTTTTTTTATGTCTATGTTCACCAATCAACTTCGTCTTCACTCAAACATCAACCAGAACAGTTGGCCTGGCTGTACTCCACAGCATGTAGTGAGTAGGCTGGAACTTTACCAACACGTGACCGTCTTATGCTCTGTCGAATAGTCCCACAGTATCCCGACAGCCACTTGAAACTCCGAATGACATTAGTCAACGATACCTCGTGCACAATACCTGGGCATTCATTTTAGCCGGAGGCTGAGCTCCAGGGTTGTGGAGGGTCCTGGGGAGGGGGCGGGTTGTGGAGGCTTTGGGTGGCTTACAGCCCCTCTCCTCGCTCAGAACAGAGTATTTGGCTGCTGCCGCCACGATACATTTCCAAATGTTTGAAGCCACCTCGTTGAGCTATCATTTGTGATAGCCAGGTCCGGTTTCTGAAAAAGAGCGAATATAGCTCAGTTGGCCTTACCTGGTGAAATGAAAAGTTTAGCCGAGGTCAGATGATAGTTTTATTTCGCGTGACAAATGAAACCATGGTGACATCCGCCAGTCGTTGTTTTCAAGTAAACTGGTTAGCGAATAAAACTCATTGCTTTTTTAATGCGATTAAAAAAAATCTGAATGAAAAATGAAGTACCCTTTTGTTAATGTGGTGTACAATTTACATAAAATGGGCACGGGTTCTGTTGCCAACCAGTGGGAGCCACGGCGACTTTTACACCACTCGAAACGCGACCAACTTTGGGATATTTTACAACGTTGCAAATACTCTATACCTCAAGGAGGCATTGCAGTGACTTCTCGCTATGGAAGGAAGCTATCGATGTGTCTTACGAGTATTCACGATTGCTCGCCACGTGACTGTCGCGTGCATGCGCGTGCATATGCACAAATCTCATTTCATCTATCCGCAAGTCAATGGCGCGATGCCACTTACTAAAAAAAAAATTCCAAATTACCGATAGCTTACCGTCATTTTTTTTACAAATTCAAAATAAGCCATTGCTGAAACAAATACACACGGCTAAATTCTCTACGATTGAACAAATCTTTCACGGTTTGCTGGCGTACCAGCCCACTTTATCCCTAGATGTATATAACATCAAACCCGAGATGTACATAACATCAAACAAGGGGCAATGGGAGCTCTTCAGATCCCGAAGAAACTCCCCTACGCGTGGAGTGAAAGGGACATTGCCGGAATATTCACGAGACAAGACCCGAAAATCACGTGGTAGCGCTTAACCGATTTAACTTCATTTTAAAAAAATATATAACATTTAATAAAAAAGAGAAATGCAAGATAGGTTTAGGACAAACTGCATCTGCGTATCTGCATTATAAAGAAAATACACGCTTGAGGATCGGTTTGGTGTTCATTGTATGCGTTGTAGACATGTATTCAAATCGTAACGGATGTGTGTGTACAAATCATGATTTGTAGCTGACAGGTTATTGAAAAATATGATTTGATAAAAAAAAGATGTATTGAATGTTCTTAGCGTCCATGGGTATTTAAGTTCTCTTTATGCATTACAAAAACACGAATCTCTCACCCTTTCTCCAGGTAGCATAATGTTAGTCTGCCGATGTTGTATTTATGTATTTAGCATAGGTACTGACGAGATTTCGTTTGCTCTTGTTAGAAACACTTAATTACTGTATTTTTCACATCCAAGACTTTGTTGTTGTTAAGACCACAGTCTGCGCGCCCAGTCCCCGTTGTGCTGAGAGTGGCGACCTGCGGCTCGGAGCTGACGATCCTTCAGGGCAGTCTTGGGTCCTTGGAACCAGCCATGGGGCCTAGAGGCCGGCTCCAGCACATGGCCTCGGTTCTCTTTGCCTCGACCGACTCGCTGTGGGCCTCCCTTCACAAAGACAATTTCCAACCCCCCCCCCCATCCCCCCTCCAACCCTCTTGAATCCAAGACTGCCTTGAGGTCAAGCAGTACCGTGTGACGCAAGTCCCCCCCCCCACCCTCTCTTTCAGACTCAGTGCCATGGTCTCGTGAAACCGTGGGTGGCATTGCACGGCAATGTTTGTGCCGCTCCGCGCGTCTGCGCGTACGCGAATGCGCGCGCGGGCGCGCCACTTGCGCCTCTTCCATCGGGGCCAAGGCTCGCAAACTGGCAGACGCGAGCCGAAACGCGATGACGATGCCTCGGCGGTTCACGCTCGGTATGTCGGTGACACGGGGCGGGTGGGACGGGAGAGGAAGCTTCATCGGCGCGTTGGTGCCAGCGCGTGAACGTGGTTTTTGCTCGGAACGTGCGCGATCGGGACCACCACACCATGGGGCGATGCATTTGTGTCGAGGCCAGTGAACCGTCTCGTGATGCTTCGAGAACAATGCATCACGTGCAGGGGAGGGACGGGGGGCTGAGGCTCGACTTGAACTGAACTACCGACGTAGCCACATATCATCATACACTGTCACTTTAGAGGTGGGGGGGTCCCCCTAGAGGGGGGAAGGGGTCCCCCTCGTGTTGTCGAACCCCACTCGTGCCTGCCGCTCCCTTCATACCACGCGGCAGCAACGGAATCCCTCACCGCTGCTGCTTTTGACATTTGTTTTGAGTGAACCACACCCTCCATCTTCAGCTAACCTCACCATCTTCAGTTAACCTCACCCTCCATCGTCAGTTAACCTTACCATCGTCAGTTAACCTCACCATCTTCAGTTAACCTCACCATCGTCAGTTAAGCTCACCATCTTCAGTTAACCACACCCTCCATCGTCAGTTAACCTCACCCTTCATCGTCAGTTAACCTCACCATCTTCAGCTAACCTCACCATCTTCAGTGAACCACACCATCATCAGTTAACCTCACCATCGTCAGTTAACCTCACCATCTTCAGTTAACCTCACCATCTTCAGCTAACCTCACCATCGTCAGCTTAACCACACCCTCCCACCACAGACAGTGCAGGGGAGAAGCCGCTGTGGGACAACACTGAAGCTATTTTAGTTTTCCCAAATAAATCTCGGCGGCTGAAGTGAGCGGTCCGTAGCTTTCCTTTTTTCTCCAAACCAAAGTTTTTTTATCGACCGCTGTCAAAGGTTAGCTACGACATAGATTGCACTGAATACCGAATATAATAATTGGTAGAACCTTGAAGGGAGCTGCTGCGAGGGTGACCTGCTTTTAGCCTTGTAACTACGCAGGTACGGAAATCCTAGTGCCAGCCAGTGCCGGATTAAGCTAGTGCAGGATCTGTAAGGATATGTTAGAAAGGGGACCTACATTTTTTTTAAAAACCCTATAAATATTAAAACACGTACATTTTTACTTTGCATAGTAAAGTAATTGTATTTTTTCATTTGCTATACAGCCAGATGATACGACAAATCGCTAACCTTAAACACCCAGTCGTTTATAAAAGTTGAAGGCAGTATAGTATTGTAGTAATAGAGAAAGTGCAGAATGACTGAACCGGAATTGATAGCTTGAAAGTATTTAGCGCGGGGCCCTTGAAAGTGCGGGGCCCGTGGCTGCTAGTGTAGCTACTTTTGCTACGAGGATATAATCCGGCTCTGGTGCCAGCCATCCCCTTTGACCCCTGGCAAGTTTGACGACCCCAGGAAAATTTGACGACCCCCAGCCTGATGTAAATCTCTTTGCTCATTGACGCCTTGGATATTGTCACACTGCATACAGCACCGTACACAACAACAATAACAAACCCCCTTTTGTGGTGTTTAAACAAATGTGAAGAAAAACAAATCTCGAAGCTGCTCTGTGCTGCGTCTCGTCGTGCTCCCGGTCATCAGGATCCCACCGTCTCCACCGTCTTTGCCCCACATAGCGGCGGCGTAGCGCGGTTGGAACGGGCCCTGTGGTGCGAGCAGTGAAAATGTGCCGCTCCCCGCCCCAGTATCCACCTCGATGTAGCCCGGTCGCCGCCGGCACACGGGAAGGTGATTGAACGGTCCCGCACACGCGACAGCTCACCCACTGTTGGCCAACTGCTGACGTGACGACCCAATTTGTAAGTGTTCTGTGCATTTCAGAGCAGCGTCGCTCTCGTGGGTTTGGACAGCGTGATGCTTGTAGCAGAGTTGGGCTGGTGGTGGTGGTGGTGTTGGTGTTATTGTGTCTGTGACTCACGTAAGACATTCCGCAAGTCATCCCCAAATCTTGACGTTGTTCCGTCACGAATGTTTCACCCGGCTGGAGTTTGAGTAATTAAAAAAAAAAACGACTCCTGCGATCGGACCCCGTGTGTACGCGTCACAAAAAATATTTAACGCAGTGCTGTGGAGGTAAACGTCCGACGTTTCAGGTCCCAGAGGATTCCCCCGAGTTGTGTCGAGGTTGTCTCGGTGTTCCGCTAGCCGTGGAAATGCCCTCAAGTTTGACTTGACATCACACAACACCGTCGACTTTCTATAGATTTTCGTTTTGTGTGTGTGTGTGTGTAAAGCGTCACTTGTCAATAATATTGTTCATGTTGTGTACATTGGCGATGCCCAATAGGGTGCGAGTTCAGGCAAGGTTGTGTCAAGGGTTTCGTTTTCTCCGGTCTCCAAGTCATTTGCTGTGCCGTGCAAATTGTAAAAAAACAAACCCATGTGTCCCTCAAATAAAGATCCTAGTGAAGAACCTCCCACTGACGTTGCGCGTCGCATCTCGTTAACGTATTAAGTTACGAGGCACCCACTCCGCTGACCAAGTCACCTGGGTTCGAATCCAGGCAGCCACCTGTGATTAAGTGCCTCTTAGAAGTCGGTGCAGATCGAACGCTGCTGCTGTTGTGAATGTGCAGCAGCAGCAGGGATTGATGATGATGATGGCCGTGTTCCACACGGCAGGGGGCTGCCACGGAGACGCGAGGCCCCGGCAGGGACAGCCATGCCCCGTGGTGTAGAGAGCAGCAGCAGCAGGAGGCTGCGAGTCGCACTGCCGCTGCTGCCGAGAGTTCCACCGTGGGCTGCGATGCAGAGCGGACAGAGACGCGAGGCCCCGGGCAGTGAGGAGCAGCGCCTTGCTCCGTGGTGGAGCGAGGCGGGGTCTCGCGCTTGCATCTGCAGGCACCGTGCATCAATCAAATGGAGGTTTGTTATGGGCAGCTGCGGAGCTACGTTGTGGGCGGGAGAGGGCCATCGCATCCAAATCGATTGTTGTACATCATGCCCCAGAGTCTTCACAGCCCCGCACGGACCAGCGTCGTTGATGTACCGTCAATGAACGCCCACGTCCGACATGGGTGGCGTGGTCCCTCGTTCAGTAGCGGATGAAGGCCACCCAACGCAGTGCGTGTAAATAGAAATCGACGGAGAATTGACTCGTTTACACGCAACTGTATGCCTGTACTGAGGATGTATCGATAATACGCTTTGCATCCGAACTAATCTTGGTCTAAAGACAGCGCTGGAAGTTATTTCTCTACGCGTGTAACCAAGAGAAATACTGCACCCCGATGTTTAATCGAATCAAGGACTTTGTTGTAGTGTCAAGGCTCAGACCACAATTGAAATATTGTCCCTTCTGAATTACAAAGAAGATCGTTAGCCTACCTATCACCCTAACAATCGTGATGGAGCCGCAGTCTGGCTCTACAGCCAGAATAATCACGTCTCCCAAGAGCCCTTTTGTACCTGGCAAATGTAAATTACTCAGGGATCGTCGCAACATGCACCTGTAGATGATGAACATGGGAAATTGCCCATATAAATAAGGGCTGTCCGTTTTACCGTTGGAGAACGAAGTCCTTATCAGCACATTTGCAAACCGTGTCAAGCGATGATTACGTTAAAAGGGGAAGTGGGTTTTGGACTTTGAGAAACAGCTGACGAGTGAGATAAACACACACACTGGACCCAAGTTTCGAACAGAACCCCAGTCTCGTACCCAGCCAACGCGACCAGGTTGAAGCGTGTGCACATTTGTGACACCCCCTCTATTTGGTTGTTCGATTGCGGATCGTAGCATTCGACAATGACGAATGCAAGTTGTTCGACGATGAATTTCCACGACTGAAGATTGAAAACGCTCGCTGCTTGGACCACTTCACAGGTACGTACGTGGTCCCGTTGCTTTCTGCGACGTCTGCAAAGTCATTTATAACAGCCACTGCTGGCTGCAAGCCACCACATGCCTCCCGTTGTCAGTCACGTGGGTGGATGTTGGAGGGCACTGCTCCACGGTCGGTTGGGCCGGCACAGGACCGGTTCAGATATCACCCCACCACTGATGTTTCCCGTGGCTGGAAATCACTCGGGTTCATAGGGGAAGTTGCAGTGTCCACCCGCAGGGTATGGCGGGGGGAGGGACGTCTCCACTATCCACCAAATTCTGATGAGACGGCGGGCGTTTCGCACTCGCGATCGTGCCCTTGGTTATCCTCTCGATGTGTTGAGATTTGGTGTGTGGCAGTGGTTCTTTAGAACACCTTTACTGAAGCCTTGCTCCCCTTGGGTTTTCAATCGTAAAAAAAAAGTATTTTTATACGTAGGTTTGATGAAACTGAAGTAATTGTAATTGTACTTACGAACCCGTGGCTGGCTTAATTTGTGTTGTCGATTATTCAAAAAAAAGTCTGGCCAAGTCTCGCACCCCCAGAAAGGGCATCTCGTACCCCCCAGGGGGTGCGACACCCCCAGGTTAAGAACCACTGGCTTAAGGCCATCTACCCCCCACCACCACCAAACCCACCCACCGGAAGTCCTGCAGCACCACTCACATTCACAATCCATCATATGGCGCTCCACACCACCTCACCGCATGATGAACACAGGGACATGCTTGTTGTTTTTATTGGTATTGTACTTCGTTTTCTTTGGTTCTATCGGTAAAGTCACGTAGATATATATAAAAAATTAAATGAAAAGTAAAAGCAAAACACCCACGACGTTTCGATCGCAACACAAGCGGGCTTCATCAGGCAGAGAAAAAAAATTGATGGGTGGACAGAGGCGGCGGTGGAGAGAGAGAGGAGGGGGGGTTAAGAAACTTTCCCCGTTGGTTCTCAAAGGCCCTTCCGGGAGATAAAATCGAACCGATCACCTCTGGATGTAGAACTTCTTTCTCACCGTACGTAGCCAACCGTGCTAATCGGAGGTGCAGTAACATGTGTGATAAGATGTTCAAACAACGAATTAAACCCCTATTCATACTCTGTGGTTTTATTCGGTAAAGTCACGTAGGTAAAATAAAATAATTAAATCACGACGTTTCGGAGGCAACACAAGCTTCCGTCTTCAGGTGGAATAGTCACAGCAGAATATCTGTAACAAGTGCACAGCTCTGAGACGATCGGGTTTATATATATACAGGTTAAAAGGGGGGGGGGGAGCCAGAAAGGAAACGTGGGTGGGCGGGAGGGCTGAGTTAAGCCGCCTTTTGTTATGATGCAGGGGGTTCGGGGGGAGGCAATGGTGTTTGAGTACGCCCCATTTTTGAAAACGAAAGAAGCAGCTGAAGTTTGGCATACCGCCACTGAAAATTACTGTACAATTAAAAGGCAGCTAACGTTTGACTTGATTTATGACATCTTTCCAATGGTTGCTTAATTTGAAACCATCCTCTCGGTTGAAGTTGTGTCTGTGTTTGTATATCTGGATGGCCTCGTGGACAAATCTCTGGTAATAACCGGGAGGTTTGCATAGTACCTTGGTATCGGAGAAAACAATATCATGATAACCCACAGCGTTGTAACAGTGATCAGCTACGCAGAAGAATTCGTTCTGCCGTGTTTTAAATCTGATTTTGTGCTCGCGAATTCGGTCAGAAATGTCGTTTCGTCTCCCCGATATAGCAGTCACTGCAGGTACAACTCAATTTGTAAACACCGGGGTACTGTAAGTCAGGAATGACATCCTTTACGGATGGGATCAGATCACGGATTTTGTGTACTGTGTTGAACCGGACCTGGATCTTGTGTTTGTTTAGAATTTTGGAAATCTTTTTAGTAACGCCTGCTATGTATGGTAACGTGATGATTTTGATCGGAGCATCAAGTGGTTGTTTCTGTATGGTGGGAGAAACAGCTTGGCGGATGGTACGGTCAGAGTATCCGTTCATCTTGAGGGCCAGATGTACATGTTTTCATTCACTGATCAGGTGGTGTTGGTCAGAAATGCAATGCGCCCTATGGTATAACGTTTTGATGAGATAATTCTTCAGAGTCGGGTGGTGGGAATCAGGTTTCAAGTAGGAGTCTGTGTGGGTGGGCTTCCTGTAAACAGAATGTCCCAAAGAGCCATCAGACCTCCTCTCAAACAGAACATCCAAGAATGGCAGCTTGCCATCTTTCTCCACTTCCATAGTGAATTTGATGGAAGGGTGTCTGGAATTGATGTGGTCTAGGAAAAGGTTCATCTCTCTTTTTTAGATTCGTGAGTTCCGAGCGTTCATTTTTGCTGATTTTGCTAATGGGTTTCTTAGCATTCTTAAGAATAGTGGCTATTTCAGATCTCGCAACGTCTGCTTGGATGTGTCCTATGCCTTTGAGGGCTACATCGACCTGAGATATGATATCGTCGACTGGTATATGTTTTGGGGTGACAGCAAAATTTAGCCCTTTAGCCAGTACTGTTTTCAGATTGTCCGAAATCGGGATGCTACTCTGATTAATAACGATTTTGTCAACGTCTAGAGATGATATAGTCATCCTCTCGGCCGACAAAGGCAATGCCACTGTCATTATGGATACAAACTCATACAACAACAAAATCCAGGACCTACTCAATGATGGGAGTTACTCAAAAATTAAAAATGACCCTACTAACAGCCTAATGATGAAAACCAACAAGATCATCACAAGTTCGACTTCCCTAATCGAACCAACCAAACGTCCCTCCCTAAAACTTTCCGCTGCAAGACCTCCCAGATTCTATGGTCTTCCCAAGATCCATAAAGAAGGTACCCCACTACGACCCATCGTGTCCATGATCAACTCCCCTACCTACAAGCTGGCCCGTTTCCTGTCAGATACTCTGCTTCCCTTCACTGGCAAGACCACCTCAGCAGTACTTAACTCAACCCAATTGGTTTCTATGGTCAAAGACATTGTACTGTCTCCTGACGATATCCTCGTCAGCTTTGATGTGGTCTCTCTGTTCACCAAGGTCCCAGTACCTGATACCATTACAATAATTGAAGATTTGGTCCAACATGGACTGGACCCCGATGTACCTGTGCTGGTTAGGCACTGCCTCACCAACACCTACTTTACTTGGAATGGTACCTTCTACAAACAAAATGTGGGTACCCCTATGGGTTCTCCCTTATCACGAGTGATAGCCAATGTTTTCGTGCAGAAATTTTAATCAGACGCCATCCAGACATCCACCCTCAGTCCTTCCCTGTGGGAGAGATATGTGGATGATACTTTCGTCATTTGGCCACATGGCCTCCCAGCTTTGAACCTTTTCCTAGACCACATCAATTCCAGACACCCTTCCATCAAATTCACCATGGAAGTGAAGAAAGATGGCAAGCTGCCATTCTTGGATGTTCTGTTTGAGAGGAGGTCTGATGGCTCAATGGGACATTCTGTTTACAGGAAGCCCACCCACACAGACTCCTACTTGAAACCTGATTCCCACCACCACCCGACTCGGAAGAATTATCTCATCAAAACGTTATACCATAGGGCTCATTGCATTTCTGACCAACACCACCTGACCAGTGAATTAAAACATGTACAGCCCTCAAGATGGACGGATACTCTGACCGTACCATCCGCCAAGCTGTTTCTCCCACCATACAGAAACAACCACATGATACTCTGATCAAAATCATCACGTTACCATACATAGCAGGCGTTACTAAAAAGATTTCCAAAATTCTAAACAAACACAAGATCCAGGTCCAGTTCAACACAGTACACAAAATCCGTGATCTGATCCCATCCGTAAAGGATGTCATTCCTGACTTACAGTACCCCGGTGTTTACAAATTGAGTTGTACCTGCGGTGACTGCTATATCAGGGAGACGAAACGACATATTTCTGACCGAATTCGCGAGCACAAATCAGATTTAAAACAAGGCAGAACGAATTCTTCTGCTGTAGCTGATCACTGTTACAACGCTGTGGGTTATCATGATATTGTTTTCTCCGATACCAAGGTACTATGCAAACCTCCCGGTTATTACCAAAGATTTGTCCACGAGGCCATCCAAATATACAAACACAGACACAACTTCAACCGAGAGGATGGTTTCAAATTAGGCAACCATTGGAAAGATATCAAAAATAAAGCCAAACGTTAGCTGCCTTTTAATTGTACAGCAATTTTCAGTGGTTGTATGCCAAACTTCAGCTGCTTCTTTCGTTTTCAAAAATGGGGCGTACTCAAACGCCATCGCCTCCTCCCGAACCCCCTGCATCATAACAAAAGGGTTTTACCTGCATGTGTTTGAAGTCTGCCTCTTTCGTTTTCAAAAATGGGGCGTACTGGCACGCCATCGCCTCCCCCCGAACCCCCTGCAGCTTAACAAAAGGCGGCTTAACTCAGCCCTCCCGCCCACCCACATTTCCTTTCTGGCTCCTCCCCCCCCCCCCCCCCCCCCCCCCCCCCCTTTTAACCTGTATATATAAACCCGATCGTCTCAGAGCTGTGCACTTGTCACAGATATTCTGCTGTGACTATTCCACCTGAAGACGGAAGCTTGTGCTGCCTCCGAAACGTCGTGATTTAATTGTTGTATTTTATTTTACCTATGTGACTTTACCGAATAAAACCAAAGAGTATGAATCCTTGCAGTCACGAAAGCTTCAAATCTAAAACCCCTTTTGCAAGGCATCAATGCTGCATTCACCACACGTGCTTGTGGTTAAATACATGCTGTTGGTAAAATATGGTCAAGCCTCCTCTGCCAGTATAAAGATGATGAATAAACGGGTCCCGTAGACACCTCACCTCAATTCAGCACTCTAGGCCAGACACCGCGAAACAAGTTCAACATACAGACAGTCGCCCTCCCGCAATAGCGGAGGGCAGAGGAGCGACGCTCGCAACAACGAGCGGAGCGCCGGATGGCTAAAACGCAGCAAGTTGGCACAGTGGGGGGCACAGGTGGTACCATCTGTCAGTCATCTCAGTCAGTCAACCCATGGCACCTTGGTCTGTTTCATGACCTGTCAGCAGGCCTTTGACACGTCACGTTGTCTCAAAGTGCACCTAGCATGGCACCGCCACTTAGTGGTGAATGGCGACTGCTGTTGTTGTTGTTGTTGCTGGGACTGTAAGAGCAGTCTCTAGATGATGGTGTTGCCCGTGTGGCAGTGGTGACCTGTGCAAGGAAGGCACGGCAGGGTGTGGTGACATCACAGGCATTGGTCGCTATGACCTCTTGACCTTGACTGATTCGTAAACAAAACACAAATCGACTACGGGAGACGCACGTGAATTTTCTTCCAATTTAACAATTGAGAACAAATGCAATAATAAACAATAAAACAATCTCGACACACGATGGCCAACTCATTTCGAATGTGAAGCAGGCGGCGCGAATGTTTGGTGAATAAACCGGCAGTACCGACCAGGGCGACCAGCTGGAGTCGTGCCGCGAACCTCTTTGTACAACCAAGAGCCTTCCTTGGGTACGGCGAATCTGCGCGACCGCCCCGGGCCCCGCAATTTGGGGGGGATGGGGGGGGGCGCTTCGACGTCAAGGTATCAGATGTGAACCTTACGGCCCTGCCCACAATACTCGGCACTCTGCTGCTGCTGCATTGTGGGAGTCTACCTCGAGTGACTTCCAGTCCCACCGGGCATCCTCATCGTGTCCAAGCGTGGGTGTGTGTCCGTGTATGTGTCTAAGTGCCAATGTCTGTGTGTGTGTCCGTTTACCTGCGCCTTGGTGTCCACGTCTCTGTGTGTCCATGTCTCTGTGTGTCCGTGTATCTATGTCTAGGTGTCCGTGTCTCTGTGTGTCCGTGTATGTGTCTAAGTGTCAATGTCTATACTCTTTGGTTCTTTAGGTAAAGTCACGCAGTTATACAATTAAATAAATATAAATCACGACGTTTCGGGCAGCAACACAAGCGTCCGTCATCAGGTGGGAAAGCATGATCTGCTGCTGAGGCAGACTGTTTTAAAAGGTTTGAAATGGGTGTAGCCCAAGGGTCATAAAGAAGTGGGCAGGGCTAGTGATGTTAATGTGAGAAATTAGCATGCAAATGTAAGATATGAGAGCGGCCTCCTAGACGAGGGCACGGAAGTGGCTATGTTAATGTGAGAGATTAGCATAATGTTAATGTGAGAAATTAGAGGACACGGAAGTGGCTATGTCAATGTGAGAGATTAGCATGATGTTAATGTGATAAATTAGAGGGCACGGGAGTGGCTATGTTAATGTGAGGGATTAGCGTGATGTTAATGTGAGAAATTAGAGGGCACGGGAGTGGCTATGTTAATGTGAGAGATTAGCATGATGTTAATGTGAGAAATTAAAGGGCACGGGAGTGTCTATGTTAATGTGAGAGATTAGCATGATGTTAATGTGAGAAATTAGAGGGCACGGAAGTGGCTATGTTAATGTGAGGGATTAGCGTGGTGTTAATGTGAGAAATTAGAGGGCACGGGAGTGGCTATGTTAATGTGAGAGATTAGCGTGATGTTAATGTGAGAAATTAGAGGGCACGGAAGTGGCTATGTTAATGTGAGGGATTAGCGTGGTGTTAATGTGAGACATTAGCATGTAACTGTATAAAAGGATGGTGAGCATGATAAATCTAAGAGAGAGGCATAGAGAGAGAGAGACAGAGTCAGAAATAACAGCTGACATATGCAGGTTGGATGGAAACATCACAGTCAGTTAAGACTTTTACCTTGTTAATAACGTCCATCCAATGATTACTCAGTTTGTACCCATCCTCTCGGTTGAAGTTGTGTCTGTGTTTATATATCTGGATGGCTTCATGAACAAATCTCTGAAGGTAGCCGTTAGGTTTGCAGAGTACCTCCGTCTTGGAAAAATCCATTTTGTGTGAGCCCACAGCGTTAAAACAATGATCGGCAACGGCAGAGGCATTGGTCCTACCGTGTTTCAGATCTGCGGTCCGAGACATGTCGTTTAGTTTCCCCAATGTAACTGCTGCCGCAACCACAACTCAGTTTGTAGACACCAGGGTGTCCATGTGTCCGTTTACCTGCGCCTTGGTGTCCATGTCTCTGTGTGTCCATGTCTCTGTGTCCATATATATCTGTCTAGGTGTCCGTGTCTCTGTGTGTCCGTGTATGTGTCGAAGTGTCAATGTCTGTGTGTGTGTCCGTGTACCTGTGTGAGCATATGGGATGGTCAACCTATGGGGTGGTCAGCATATGAGATGGTCAGGATATGGGATGGTCAACCTAATGGATGGTCAGCATATGGGATGGTCAGCAAATGGGATGGTCAGCATATGGGATGGTCAACCTATGGAATGGTCAGCATATGGGATGGTCAGCATATGGGATGGTCAGCATATGGGATGGTCAGCATATGGGATGGTCAACCTATGGCGCCTACAAACGCTGTTGGTTTGGATAAAGTGAATTGCACACAGCACAGAACAATTGCGCAGTGCAGAACAACTGCACGATTGCATCATAATAATAATGGGAACGTGGTGTCGCCTGCTCGCTCAACTCACAACTGAACTCGCGCGTGAAGTCGGGACACCTGCGGGGGGCGTCGGAGATGGGAGACGCGGCCGCCTTCGAGAGCGGGGGGCCCGCGGGGAGCGAGCCCGGGGGGCCGGGTTCGGGGCCCCCCCAGACGTTCGTGTTCATGGACGCGGAGGCGACCGGGGTGGCCCGCGACCGACCGCGCATCACCGAGCTGTGTCTCGTGGCCACCGACCGCTTCGCCCTGGAGAACGTGAGCTACGGGCCGGGCGGCCTGCCCAGGCCGCCACGCGTCCGGGACAAGCTCACGGTGACCCTCAACCACACACCACCCACCCACGCACCACTCACCCACCTCCCACCCACCCACCTCCCACGCACCACCCACTCACGCACCACCCACCCACCTCCCACCCACCCACGCACTACCCACGCACCAACCACCCACGTACCACCCACCCACGCACCACCCACCCACGCACCACTCACCCACCTCCCACCCACCCACACACTACCCACCCACCTCCCACCCACCCACGTACCACCCACCCACGCACCACCCACCCACCCACGCCCCATCCACCCACCCACCCAGCGACCAGACACTCTAAACGCGTGATGTTGATTCTAAACGCGGAGCAAAAAACCGAAGGACCCGGAGAAAAATGCTCGTGGCCATGGGGAGAGAAAACACGCAAACTCCAAATATACAGCAGCAGGCGTCGTGTTCAGGATCGAACCCACGACCTCCTCCATACCAGGCGAGGTAGTTAACATCTCCTAGCCACCATGATGATGAGAGAGAGACACGCAAACTCCAAATATACAGCAGCAGCAGGCGTCAGGGTCAGGCTCGAACCCACGACCTCCTCCATACCAGGCGAGGGAGTTAACATATCACCACCGTGGCGCCCCAATGCTAGGGGGGGGGGCGAAGTAAATTTATTGCACGAGGATCCTTCAGTGGCATTGGCGATCGAGTGCTCGTTTGGCGACGTTGGCACAATTCCAGGTCGCTCTCCGCGGGGTCGCATGAGCCAGATAAGGAACAGTTGCACGCTCGTGTCTCACGCAGGACCAACATGCAATGTGGATTCTTACAGCGTCTACATGCATCTCGAGACGCTGCAAGGATAATAAAGTAAAGAGTATTTATTCTAAAGAGAGGCAGTCGGCCATGAGGCAGAGGGGGTAGAGGAAGGATGGCTGGAGGAAGAGAGTTTCCAGGGGACGAGGTTCAGCGGAAAGAGAATGAGCGATCTCCCCACGGAGATGGTTGAATGGGGCCTCTGGACAGAAAGCCTGGGCTACTGGAGTGGAGAGTGCGTGGAGGGGAGTAGAGTGAGATGAGAGGTAGGAGATTGCGTGGAGGGGAGTAGAGTGAGATGAGAGGGAGAGGTAGGAGAGTGTGTGGAGGGGAGTAGATTGAGATGAGAGGGGAGAGGTAGGAGAGTGAGTGGAGGGGAGTGGAGTGAGATGAGAGGGGAGAGGTAGGAGAGTGCGTGGAGGGGAGTAGAGTGAGATGAGAGGGGAGAGGTAGGAGAGTGCGTGGAGGGGAGTAGAGTGAGATGAGAGGTAGGAGAGTGCGTGGAGGGGAGTAGAGTGAGATGAGAGGGAGAGGTAGGAGAGTGTGTGGAGGGGAGTAGAGTGAGATGAGAGGGGAGAGGTAGGAGAGTGAGTGGAGGGGAGTGGAGTGAGATGAGAGGGGAGAGGTAGGAGAGTGCGTGGAGGGGAGTAGAGTGAGATGAGAGGGAGAGGTAGGAGAGTGTGTGGAGGGGAGTAGAGTGAGATGAGAGGGAGAGGTAGGAGAGTGCGTGGAGTGAATCAGCTGGCGCTCGATCACCAATCAATCGCGGTGACGCCTTTCCCTTGTGACGTCACATAATTCTATCAACCCGCGTGCGTTTTCTGTTGTTTGTTGTTGTTGTTTGGCTGCTGTTGCTGCTGCTGTTGCCCGCAACAGTTCTGCCTGGACCCCAGCAAGCTGGTGTCGAACACGGCCTACCAGCTCACGGGCCTGAGCAACGAGAAGCTGGCGGAGAACCGGCGTCGTGAGTTCGATGGCGACGCCGTGGCGCTCGTGTCCGGCTTCCTCGCCCGGCAGACGCCTCCCGTGTGCCTCGTGGCGCACAACGGAATCCAGTTCGACTTCCCGCTGCTCAAGGTACGGCGAGCGGGAGACGGCGACGACTTCTACGCTGTTGTTGTTGTATTCAATCTTGATTTGAAGCTTTCGTGACTGCAGGAATCCATCTTCGATGGTTCTTTCGGTAAAGTCACGTCGGTAGAAAAAATAATATTAACCAAGTAAAGCAGGGGTGGGGAACCTTTTTTTTCTGCCAAGGGCCATTTGGATATTTATAACATCATTCGCGGGCCATACAAAATTATCAACTTAAAAATTAGCCTGTTATATTTGGTCAAACATTTAATTAACTCACCCCTAATGTGATGGCTGGAACCGCTTCTCTTTGGCGAGGCGTGTGATGATGTTAGCTGGTATTGATTTATGTTGCTACTCGCAACTGCTTTTCCAGGTTTGCTCCTAGATTTATTGAATTTCGAGTCCCGCCTGCGGTTGCCTTGGCAGGGCCACACCAAATGATTTCGCAGACCTTATACGGCCCGCTGGCCGGACGTTCCCCACCCCTGCAGTAAAGTCTTAACTGACTTATTCTTAGCTCTTTCGGTAAAGTCACGTTGAAGGGAAACAATAAAATAATAAAAAAACCACAATATATATTTTATTATTTTATTGTTTTCCTTCAACGTGACTTTACCGAAAGAGCTAAGAATATGAATTACTGCAGTCACGAAAGCTTTAAATAAAAGTCTTAACTGACTGTGATGTTTCCATCCTACCTGCCTATGTCAGCTGTTATTTCCGACTCTCTGTGTGTGTCTCTCTGTCTCCCTCTCACCATGAGTACCTCTTGCTCTTAGGGGGTTTTTTGGTTCCTGTTGCCCGGCTCTCTGACATTGAAACGCTAATCTTCTTATTGGCACGCCTCCGGTGGCTGGGCAGTCTCACATTGACACGCTAATCTTCTCACATTTACAGCTTCAAAACAAGATTTACGTACAAATTCCTTCTCCAGCTCTGCCAACTTACCCTTGGGTTGGGCCCACCAACAATCCTACATAAACTCTTGTTGCAGCAGCTCTTTCTCCTACGTCAGCAGTCCTCCTGCTGCGTTTGTTTCACACCTGATGATGGTTGCTTGTGTTGCGATCGAAACGTCGTGATGTGTTATTCTATTGTATTATAAAGAACATTCTGGCCAAAGAATCGCATTGATAATAATAATAGGAGCACACATTGAAAGGGTTCGAGCAAGTGTATTCGCTCCTCTCACCTCTGAGGTGGCGTCATCTGTTATAGCGGCTGTCCGAAATTATTCCGCCATTTCAAATCGCTCTTTGATGGTATCACGGTAAAACCCCCCGTAGCCAGTTACCCAGCTAGCTTCGGTGGTAACGGCCCTGGCAGTAGTCACTAACAGCAGAGTTGTAGTGGTGGTGGTGGAGAGGAGGCCAGCCAGCAGCCAGCCAGGAAAACTCGAGACATGGATTGTGTTTCATTGGACCTTTTTTGCCAGTATCAAAGTATGACAATAAGAATAGGTTTTACCCATTCTGGCAATACAACAGGTGTGTTAAGATGTTCAAACACCAAACCATTACCTTTTGCAAAGAATCAAGTCTGCATTAACCTGACGAACCTTGTGGTGAACATGCAAACACACACGCTGTAATAATTATATACGCATTGTCTTTTAAACTGATTTGCCTACAATCCTGTGACCAGGACTTTACGTGAAGGAATTAGACAAACGCACACCACGTTTTCTCATTTAAAATAGGTCCAATGTAAAAAAAAATATCACTGTCCTGGTCACAAAAGCAAAGTTTGTGGGGAATAATATCCATGTTCTGTACCTTTGAGGCATAAGCAATTGGAAAACAACACTTCCTACCCAGGAACAAATTTGTAACACAGTGTGATTATTCGCCTCGCGATGATTGCTCCGCACAACGCCACGCACCAACAGTTCAGCGCAGCACTAACCGACAACCGGTGGTGTGAGCCGCAGGTGGAATTCTTTCGCGTCGGCGCGTCCCTGCCGGCCGCCACGCTCTGCGCTGACACTCTCCCCGCGCTGCGCTCCATCATGGCCAGCAACACCGCGTGGCAGCCGCCCTGCGGAGCGGCGAAACCGGGGGGGCCTCCCGGCGGCCGCGCTCGCAAGCGCAAACTCAGGGCCGACGGTGGCGAGGTGGCGGGGGCCCTCTCCGACGAGGCGATCCAGGAGGTGACGAAATCGCGCGGCGGCGATTCGAACGAAATCGTAGAACAACGCGGCAGAAGCGACGGTGACGGTGGTGGTGGTGGTGATGATCGTGAAACGCGAACCTCGAGCGGTTGCTCGTGACGCTTCTCTTCCGCGTGAGCGTTCAGGTCCCCTCTTAGCCTCTTTTACAGTCACGAGGTCGTGGTGGAAATTAGGCATTCCCATGGCAGGACAAGTCTCGTTACATGGCAAACCACTGCTGACTTGTGTTTTTTTACAACAGGTGGGTACGTATTTTGTTGACCATGTAGGAATGATAGGCTGAGTATCTGGTGCGTTCTGTAAACATCAACAGAGAGAGACTATAGATAATACAACGGCCGTTGACTTCCCCACAAACGGGTACTGATTTTATCGACCCCCCTCCTCCTCCAAGTGATGATGGGCCGAGTCAACCACCGATCATGAATTGAATTCGCAACCTTTCAATTGCGAGTCGCTGGGGCTATCGTGGAGCCACTGGTCAGGTTGTGATTTGAAATCCGCACAAACAGCTGCTGACCCTTAGGAGTCGCTCAAGATCGGAGCTTAATTTTCAGCCGGGGGCTTGTCAATGTTCGTGACCCGTAAACAAAAAAGTATTTTTTATATATATAATGTATTTTAATACATCCACACCACATCCACTCGTGCACCTCTCCCGTGCACTTTCTAACACCAAATCCAGTCCAGCAACGGCCCGGACAAATGTTCAGTGTGAACTTAAGCCCCGTTCAAAACTAAAGCCGAGCAGTTGTAGTCTGGTGCTTCGCTCCACGCTTTGAAGATCTTCAATCTATGTGCTGTGTTGAGTCTATGGGCAGTGTTGGGTCTATGGGCAGTGTTGGGTCTATGGGTAGTATTGGGTCGATGTGCAGTGCTGAGTCTATGGGTAGTGTTGGGTCTATGTGCTGTGTTGAGTCTATGGGCAGTGTTGGGTCTATGGCCAGTGTTGGGTCTATGGGCAGTGCTGAGTCTATGGGCAGTGTTGAGTCTATGGGCAGTGCTGAGTCTATGGGCAGTGTTGGGTCTATGGGCGGTGTTGAGTCTATGGGCAGTGCTGAGTCTATGGACAGTGTTGAGTCTATGGGCAGTGTTGAGTCAATGGACAGTGTTGAGTCTATGGGCAGTGTTGGGTCTATGTGCTGTGTTGAGTCTATGGGCAGTGTTGAGTCTATGGGCAGTGTTGAGTCTATGGTGCAGTGTTGAGTCTATGGACGGTGTTGAGTCTATGGACGGTGTTGAGTCTATGGGCGGTGTTGAGTCTATGGGCGGTGTTGAGTCTATGGACGGTGTTGAGTCTATGGACAATGTTTAGTCTATGGGCGGTGTTGAGTCTATGGGCGGTGTTGAGTCTATGGGCGGTGTTGAGTCTATGGGCGGTGTTGAGTCTATGGGCGGTGCTGAGTCTATGGGCAGTGTTGAGTCAATGGGCAGTGTTGAGTCTATGGGCAGTGCTGAGTCTATGGGCAGTGCTGAGTCTATGGGCAGTGTTGAGTCTATGGGCAGTGTTGAGTCTATGGGCAGTGTTGAGTCAATGGGCAGTGTTGAGTCTATGGGCAGTGTTGAGTCTATGGGCAGTGCTGCGTCTATGGGCAGTGCTGAGTCTATGGGCAGTGTTGAGTCTATGGGCAGTGTTGAGTCTATGGGCAGTGTTGAGTCTATGGGCAGTGTTGAGTCAATGGGCAGTGTTGAGTCTATGGGCAGTGTTGAGCCTATGGGCAGTACTGAGTCTATGTGCAGTGTTGAGTCTATGTACAGTGTTGAGTCCATGGGCAGTGTTGAGTCTATGGACAGTGTTGAGTCTATGGGGCAGTGTTGAGTCTATGTGCAGTGTTGAGTCTATGGGCAGTGTTGAGTCTATGGACGGTGTTGAGTCAATGGGCAGTGTTGAGTCTATGGGCAGTGTTGAGTCTATGGGCAGTGCTGAGTCTATGGGCAGTGCTGAGTCTATGGGCAGTGTTGAGTCTATGGGCAGTGTTGAGTCTATGGTGCAGTGTTGAGTCTATGGACGGTGTTGAGTCTACGGACGGTGTTGAGTCTATGGGCGGTGTTGAGTCTATGGGCGGTGTTGAGTCTATGGACGGTGTTGAGTCTATGGACAATGTTTAGTCTATGGGCGGTGTTGAGTCTATGGGCGGTGTTGAGTCTATGGGCGGTGTTGAGTCTATGGGTGGTGTTGAGTCTATGGGCGGTGCTGAGTCTATGGGCAGTGTTGAGTCAATGGGCAGTGTTGAGTCTATGGGCAGTGCTGAGTCTATGGGCAGTGCTGAGTCTATGGGCAGTGTTGAGTCTATGGGCAGTGTTGAGTCTATGGGCAGTGTTGAGTCAATGGGCAGTGTTGAGTCTATGGGCAGTGTTGAGTCTATGGGCAGTGCTGAGTCTATGGGCAGTGCTGAGTCTATGGGCAGTGTTGAGTCTATGGGCAGTGTTGAGTCTATGGGCAGTGTTGAGTCTATGGGCAGTGTTGAGTCTATGGACAGTGTTGAGTCTATGGGCAGTGTTGAGTCAATTGGCAGTGTTGAGTCTATGGGCAGTGTTGAGTCTATGGGCAGTACTGAGTCTATGTGCAGTGTTGAGTCTATGTACAATGTTGAGTCTATGGGCAGTGTTGAGTCTATGGACAGTGTTGAGTCTATGGGGCAGTGTTGAGTCTATGTGCAGTGTTGAGTCTATGGGCAGTGTTGAGTCAATGGACAGTGCTGAGTCTATGGGCAGTGTTGAGTCTATGGGCAGTGTTGAGTCTATGGGCAGTGTTGAGTCTATGGGCAGTGCTGAGTCTATGGGCAGTGCTGAGTCTATGGGCAGTGTTGAGTCTATGGGCAGTGTTGAGTCTATGGGCAGTGTTGAGTCTATGGACAGTGTTGAGTCTATGGGCAGTGTTGAGTCAATTGGCAGTGTTGAGTCTATGGGCAGTGTTGAGTCTATGGGCAGTACTGAGTCTATGTGCAGTGTTGAGTCTATGTACAATGTTGAGTCTATGGGCAGTGTTGAGTCTATGGACAGTGTTGAGTCTATGGGGCAGTGTTGAGTCTATGTGCAGTGTTGAGTCTATGGGCAGTGTTGAGTCAATGGACAGTGCTGAGTCTATGGGCAGTGTTGAGTCTATGGGCAGTGTTGAGTCTATGGGCAGTGTTGAGTCTATGGGCAGTGTTGAGTCTATGGTGCAGTTTTGAGTCTATGGGCGGTGCTGAGTCTATGGGCAGTGTTGAGTCAATGGACAGTGTTGAGTCTATGGTGCAGTGTTGAGTCTATGGGCAGTGTTGAGTCTATGGGCAGTGTTGAGTCTATGGGTGGTGTTGAGTCTATGGGCAGTGTTGAGTCTATGGGCAGTGTTGAGTCTATGGGTAGTGTTGAGTCTATGGGCAGTGTTGAGTCAATGGACAGTGTTGAGTCTATGGGTAGTGTTGAGTCTATGGTGCAGTGTTGAGTCTATGGGCAGTGTTGAGTCAATGGACAGTGTTGAGTCTATGGGCAGTGTTGAGTCTATGGGCAGTGTTAAGTCTATGGGGCAGTGTTGAGTCTGTGGGCAGTGTTGAGTCTATGGACAGTGTTGAGTCTATGGGTAGTGTTGAGTCTATGGGTAGTGTTGAGTCTATGGGCAGTGCTGCTGAATGTACAAAGGGAAGTTGAGAAGGGCCGAACACGGTGATTGGGCACAAGGAGAAGGAGTGACACACAGAGAGAGAGAGACTCAAAACCAAATGAATCCAACGCCATCAAAGCCCTCCCCCCTCACCTCCCACCCTGCCCCCATTGAACCCCGGCCAGGTGGTGGCGGCCGGCGGTGTGAAGTTCGGTCTGAGCGACCTGTACGAGCTGTTCTTCGGACGTGGCCCGCCGGCGGGGCTGCACAACGCCGAGACGGACGCGCTCACGCTGCTGCGGCTCGCCCAGCGCCGCGCGCCGCAGCTGCTCCCCTGGATCGACGGCCACGCGCGGCCCCTCGCCGACATCCCCCTCCTCTACGTGCCCAGCCCCTCCAAGCGGAAGCCGGCCAGGGCCGCCGCCGTGGCCGCCGCCGCCGCGGCGGCGGCGGCGGCTCCGGCCGTGTGACCTTTCCCCGCCACTCGCCACCACCCGCACCACCCCTCCCGTGCGGCGGTGTCCACTCCCCCCCCCCCCCCGCAGGGAGTGCCGTGGGTGGCGAGCACCGTGGGGGCCCCCGGGGAAATTGTTTACTCTGAAGTGTTGTTGTTGTTGTTGTTGTGTTCACAGTGCCACCTCTCTGTCCCTTCTGTCACTGCACTGGGAGGTATAAGTGTAGTGTAATAGCGCCGGCTAGTGGACAGCAGCGGCAACTGCGGTGGACAGACAGCACACGCGCCGGTAAGGGCGTGCACGTGGTGTAGGCAGAGGGAGGAACTGGGGCAAGGGTCACGGAGGACCCCGTCTGGAGGCCCCTGGAACCTGCTAGCGGGTTCGAGAAGGGAGGCGCGGTCGGGGCGGAGCCAGGCCGCGCTGGGGAGCATAAAAGGAGCCGAGAGCGGGAGGCTCGAGGCTGCCGGTTCTAGAAGTGGACTCGTCTCGTCGTCGCTGCCGTCCTCGCTAGATGTTGCGCTACGAGGGATAGTAGTTGGCTATCTCAGTCAACGCCGTCAGTGTTTGACGGCTAGGGTTGTGTACAGGCGAGGCTGAGCTACAGTGGAGAGTGTGCGGACGAGACCGTGAAAGGTGTTAATAAAGAAGGGGCCTCCTAGAAACTCTGCCTCTGAATCGTTGACACTGCCCACGCACACGTCAGGGATCGGCAACCTGCAGCTCCGGAACCGCACGCGGCTCTTTAATAGGACAGCTTCGTGACCGTTATATATTTTTTATACATTGACGGGTTTTTGTTTCATACTGAATTATCAAAAAAATGGCTCTTATTGTTATTTTGGTTGCTGGTCCCCTGGTATAAGGGGAAATGATTGTTGATGATAAGCGCACCTGAAATAAAAAAAACGCGGTGTTGCCAGGACAAACGCATTTCCGTCCATTACCTGCTCAGTAAATTCGTTTGCAGGCCACTTAGAAATGGTGTAGGTCTCATGTGGCCATTGACCATGTGACGTGAAGTCACAGGCCGTATGAAAACCAAGCTGTGAGTGGTATTCGGCCTACGGGGGCCTGAGATTCCCAGGCCCTGTTGTACGGATATAAAGAGCGTGTTTTTTGCTATTTAGTTATTTTTTTTATCAGAGCTGCTGATGAAAGGTCAATACGTACCCTGAACCCAATTTACAGTCGGCAACGCAGACCATAAACTGAAAGAGACTGCCAAGTTGTAATAAGCTGCAATGGGAAAGCAGGGTCAAGCTCTGAGTGTGGCAGGTCTATTTTTAAATCTTGACTTAAATATTTCGTGACTGCAGGAATTCATATTCTTTGGGTCTTTCGGTAAATTCACGTAGATAGGTTCAACGAAAAAAACTACGACGACATTTTGATCGCAACACAAGTGGTTGTCTTCCTGAAGACGAGGTGACTTTACCAAAAGACCCAAATAATAGGTCTATTTTTAGTATATTTTACCAGGTAAGCCCCACTGAGCTGAACACTCTTTTGCAGAAGCGATATTGCCACAAATGATAGCTTGACGAAGTGGGCTTATCTCGTAGAAATGTATAACAGCCAAACACTCTAAATGCGTGTTGATTCTAAATGTGGAGGGAAAAACCAGAGGACCTGGAGAAAGATCCAGGCGACCACAGGGAGAGAGACACACAACCTCCAAAGTTTGGTCATCCAGGACAAGTGAGTCCCAAGGTGGTGGAAACTTGTACATGAAGTAGCTGGGCAGCTCTGTGGTTTCGCAGTGGGAAGCAATATGCACAGACACATTTTAAATGTAACTTGTTTTTTACCGTTTTACACTAGATGGTGATTGTAGGGTAATGGTTTATAAAGGGTCAAATTATGTCAAGGTTCGCTATGAGTAACACTGCTACTGATTAATGTTATAAACTCTTTTTCAGGTTATTACTTTTTTATCCAGCCTTGGTCAATTCACATTCGTCCTGAGAAAATAGTTCAACATGGTTTATTAATAATAATAACACAAGCAAGTGTGTCATTTGTAACTTTGCCGTGTCCAACAGTCAAGTGAGAAAGAAAGTACAGAGTAGGTTAAAAAGTAAGCACAAGGGAGCAAAGGTCCAGACATCACTACCGCAACCACCTCTATCATACACGTGCTGCATGTTGGTTGGAATCTTCTACGGAAGGAGATATCGCAGATCTAGCTCTGAAATCGATTCTAGTCCCGCACGCGAGGGTGCAGCACTTCCTCACTTGCCATGCTTCAGCGAAACTCCGCAAAGAGCTGCGATTGTAGCCAAATTTATAACCAACAGGATGGAATGTGTATGCAGCAGTCATTGTGCCCAGGTTGACACCATCAATTCTCACTGCAACCTGAAAACCAGATTTAATCATAGGCGGCTGAAATCTGTGGCGAGGGTTAACCACCTAGCAAAGTATACAGGAGCGTATGGGTTCGATCCCGAACCCATACGCTCTTGTATACTTGGAGTTTGCATGTCTCTCTCCCCGTGGTCACGTGGATATTTCTCCAGGTCCTCCGGTGTCTCCCTCCACATTTTAGAAACGTGCGTTTAGAGTATTTGGCTGCTATACATTTCCACGTGATAAGCCACTTCGTTGAGTTATCAATTGTGGCCAGGTCGCTTCTGAAAAAGAGCCACATAGCTCAGTGGGCCTTACCTGGGTAAAAAAATATACATGTTTTTAAAAAATCAGTAATGCCAAATCTAAAAACAGTTCAAATATAGACGTGTATATTTGTGCCAACCTTTCTGCTTTCTTGGCCTTTTAGGGCATCGGTACCGTATGAACTGACATCAGCCAGTCAATCAGGACACGGTGTAATCGTGTGGCCAACCTCGAAGGGGCAGCTCTCACGCGCAAAATATTTTGCCTTCGCCAGCCAAAACGTAACAAGATTACCGGCATTCTTGGCATGTCACCATGACATAAAACTGCTGCTGTTGTTGTACAGCCTTGGGTTGGTCTCAGCTTACAATAGCCGAGACGAGGGGACATTTCTTTCTCACTTCCATTCACAACTTTTGATCCGCACATTTTCAGTCCCCCCCCCCACTACCCCCGTGTCTCTTTAATTACAACAACAAAATACATAAACAAAGGAATTGATGAGTGCTCAGTTTGGATAAATTGCTGCTCTGGGTACCCAGCTTCTTTGCACGTAACCCTGTGTCCAGGGCGCCTCTGTTTCCACTGATTATTTTTGTCCCATTTGCAGACCAGACGATGGTCTCGGATTGGACGGCAGAGTCGTGGCGCCTATTTACCACTCGTGCCTCACAGCAAGAAACGCCTCGATTCGATTCCCGACTCGGGCGCCTCTCTGTGTGGAGTTTGCGTGTTCCCCCCCACTCCACTATTCGGCGTGGGTCTCCTCCGCATGAATGTGTCCCTTTAATTCGGTGCGTCTTCATTTGTGTTCTTTAGCTCTGGGTTATGCGGTGTCCTCCCCAGAGCCAAACAACGGGCAAGCGTGAAGTGGCGATTGGCAGTGGGCGAGCATCCTCAGCATGTTACAGAACACTGCCTGAGAAGTGCTCCGCTCGGATTGCACAGCAGCAGTCGTCGCTCCCCGACTGAGAAAACTTGGCAGGACCCTCCTGCTCAAGAGTCTTGAGACTCATGCGAGTGTCATAACGAGAAGAATAAGAACGTGGGGTGTTGGAGTTGGGGGTTTCGGTTTTCAGGGTTAAGGTGAGGGTGTTTACTGTTTAGCCGTTACTATTTAGGGTTATAGTTTCGGGATTGCGGCTTTGGGTTCGCGTTTATGGGTTATGTTTTAGGCTTCGGGTATAAAGTTAGGGGTGAAGGTCTATAGGCGTTAGGTTTTACTGGTAGGAACGAAGTTGTAAACTGAGTGTACCAGCCTGCAATAGATTAATGTGTCCGTCCGTCCGTCCCCTTTCAATACTTTAACGAAGTGAAATCTCGTGCTGTTGGGTGTAAACAAAAATTCAAATGTTCCTACCAGCCCACCCTGCAGGGACCTGTTTACACTTTAGGGTCAGGGGTTATGCCCAGGAACATTGGCGCCTGTTGTGGGGAAAATCCATGCGCGACCCTTTTGTCAATCCACTGCTGGATGAGGGCCTCCTCTGCGCCACGCCACTCATGGAAGTCGTTTAACCATACTTCCTCGCGCTGGTCCGTGCCGGTCGGTGCAAGTGGGGGGACAACAGGCCAGGCCACAATTACACAATCAGGGGTGAGGTGCATGGGCATCCGAAGTCACGCGACGCAAAGACACATTCAACAAACTGTTGGGGCAAGCGCCGTTAACGAGCACCTATGAAGGCTGGAACGCTGCACACGGAGGGAGGGTGGCCAGCACCACACCCGGCCGTCTTTCTCTTCCCAGTGATGATGTTTACACACACACACCGCAACGGGTGCTCATTTTGAGGCTGAGCAGACCCATGGGAGGCCCTAGGATCGGTTCAGATAGCCACTTGTCGGCGATGTTGGCCGTGAGCGGGAATCGAACTCGGTTGGCTGGCTTTCGTAACGCGGCGCGCTCACCACTGCGCCACCGCTCCCCGCGTCACGTCATTCACACACCACACACACACACGACACACACACACGACACACACACGACACACACAACACGCCGTTGAGCGCACCACGCGTGTGTCGCAATGCAGAGCGTGGGGGTGGCGTCACCGTGCGTGCCCCCTGCAACCAGCCAGGCCACGCCCCTCACCTGCAGCTCACTCGAGGGGGCTTCATTCTCAGTGTGACCGCAACAAAGCCACTGAGTCGTGGGCCTTGGTCTTTAACCCCCCCCGTCTGTCGCATTATTCATAGCCACCTCATTGAACGCGGACGGCGAGCGATTCTGGTTGTCTCCTGCTCCTGCCGTTTGTTCTTTGATGATACACTTAGTTGGGTTTTTATTTTATACTTGTACGCTTCTGCTTGCGACGACGACGACGATGAGGTTTTGGCTGAGCGAGCCGGTTTGACTTGACGTCCTGATAAAAGTCGCAGCAACTGCAGCAGCAGCAGCCTCCACACCGCCTTCGCTGTGAGCCAATGAAGTCCCTAGGTAAGCTTGACTCACGTGCACCTGGGCAGGACAGAGGCATCATCCAGCCCGTGTCTCCGTCCGGCGACCTCTCTCCTTCGCGCGACGGGCGAGCGAAGGCTGTTTTCTGTCCCGAGTTTAATGCAAATTGTAATAAGTAAAGAGTCCTGAGCCGGGACTCCCGATGTTTATTGCATGTCGTGTAACGATGTTGAGACGTTACCAAGGGATTGCACTGTGACTTGTCGTACGATAGCCAGATTGAAGGCTGTCCAATAACGGCGGTCACGTTTTTGTGAACAAGTGTGACTTAGCGGTTTCAGCTGCGTGTTTGAAATTTGGGGATTGGGTGAAATGAAAAAGTGGTTCTGCCGAACAACAACAACAACAACCAAAAACAACACCACAGCAGCATTCCGAGGCGACATCTCCCGAGAGGGATTGGAGGACATCGAGCGGTACAGCACTCCCAAGTTTCGATGCCACTTTGGTCGCCAACTCCCAACAGAGAGCCCGTGGATGTTCATGGCGAGGGAGGGGTGACGTTCGTACGATAGCCACCGCCGTGACGCTCGCGAGTGTACGAGGCGTGATTATCGACTCCAATATTCGTGACACCCCACCCCTCCCTCTCTACCACAACGGTCAACACGTTTCGCCACTGTTGGGACACACACGCACACGCTGCACGCGTCTGATAATTGTTAATCACGAGGGTGATACAAAAAAAAACATAAATCTCCACCATGGCGGTGTCGCGAGCACTGGAGTTGGTAAAGTTGGGGCAACTACCCCAATCAAATAAATTGGCATCATTTTTTTTTGCTGCTGAACAATTCTCGCTTAATCTGAACAACTGTATGTATTGGTCTTCGAGTTGCGGCTGAGGCCGTGCTATTGGTCTCCGAGTTACGGCTGAGCACGTGCTATTGGTCTCCGAGTTACGGCTGAGGCCATGCTGTTGGTCTCCGAGTTACGGCGAGGCCGTGCTATTGGTCTCCGAGTTAAGGCTGAGGCCATGTTATTGGTATCCGGCTGTCCCGCCTGATGATGCTGGTGGTGGTTGTTGTAATTATTGGCGAAACGTCACGGCGCTCGAATCGTAAATGTTTTGGGTTTCACTCTCCAGTAGTGAACTAGTAACGAATTGCCACGTTTTGTTTACGTGACAAACCTTACTAATTGCCTGTGTCGGGTGGTGGCGGATTTAACGACACATTTATATTTACGCGATCTAACCCAAAAACCTCTATGGATAATATTGGTAGCCGTTCCTCACTCGTCGGAGGGCAGTGACCCATGGCTTATTTTTTCTAAGTCAACAAGCAAAATGGGTAGAATGTTCTGTGCTCTAAAAATAAACGTACGGCCAAAAAAAATCGACTTCTGCAATGGATATGCCTTGAATGTCATAGTTTGTAATGCATTTTGAATTGTTCGTGTTTTTACTTTATCTGGATCACACTTCTGCCCCTGTTACTTCCGATAACTGGGAGCTGATCGCATCGGGAATCCATAACAGCATCATCCATTATTAACGACGCGTATAATGAGACACCAGTTGAAACCTTGGTCAATACAACTCCACACGCACGCTCGCTGATGACCGTGAAGATGTTATCCCATGGGTGGTTCCACCACCGCCTGTACACCTCCACGTGCTCCACTCTCCGGATGGTATTGGCAACTAAGGTCCGTAACATCGAGATTGGAGCGTTCCATGTGGTGCCAGCTTCTCCGCTGAGATCGCTTTCAATGTTTTAGTTTGAACATCCCCACCACTTGCCGTGCCGGGTTATCCCAGGAGCAAAAGTAGCACAAGCCACGGGCCCCGCAGTTCCAAGGGCCCCGCGCTAAACGCTTTCAAGCTATCAATTCCGGTTCAGTGATTCTGCACTTGCTCTATTACTATAGAACTATACCGCCTTCAACTTTTATGAACGACTCGGTGTGTAAGGTTAGCGTTTTGTCGTATTATCTGGCTGTTTAGCAAATGAAAAAAATACAATTACTTTACTATGCAAGTAAAAAATTTATGTGTTTTAATATTTACGTTTTAATTTTAATTTAGGGCCCCTGAATAACATCACGCTACAGGCCCTGCACGAGCTTACTCCGGCACTGACCACTTGCAATGTCCTGGTAATACCGCACTTGCCGTCAGTGTTGTGGGCTGTTCTCGTCCCGAGTAAAGAGCCGTTTAGCTCGATGGGATGAATTGGACTCGAGTCCGAGTCTGAATGCTCCTGTCAATGTCCCGTTGAAGATTACTTGAACTTATCGGTTGTGGAAAACACCTCTTTTCACCTAATCACAGCATTCATCCGCGCAGCGCGAACCGCTGTACAATTACATTTGTTTACGAATTATGAGTGCACGCCTCTGTCCACACGCTGTAATTTCGCTGTCATCCGACGCTTATAATGTCAAATTTGGTTGTGTATAAAGTGTACGATATGTAAACATCGCCGCACCGTATTTAGAGCCGATACATTTTTGCACGTGAAGTGTGAATTGTGCTTACGCAGTGTATCCTTCTGTCATTTTGATACTTTGTAAATAACATGTGACGGTCATAGTCACGTGTTTATTACAGCGGGTGATCTAGTTGTAGGTACCCCACTAAAATAATATAAATACTAGAGAGATTCACGTTTTATTTTCAAACATCTAACCATGTCTCCCAGCAATCTTAACACCTGTACCGTATTCAATATTTTATCAATCACCACTGGAACACATCGCGATGATGTAGCAATTAGCCAACTGCACTACCAACCAGGCTACCTGAGTTCGATTCCCGCTCATGGCCAACATCGGCGAAGAACATCTGAACCGGTCCTGGGTCTCGCTTAGGTTGACTCAGCCTTTAAGCGAATACCTGGTGCGGTGTGTAAAGCTCAGGACTTGGGGAGACAAATGCGGCCGGGCGTGATGCTGGCCACCCACCTCTTCGTGTGCCGTGCCACCCTTCATAGGTGCTACTCGCTAACAGCACTTGGCCCAACAGTCTGTTCACGCTACACGGGGGGAAGATCTTGTGTAAGATGCAGAGCCATCGCTTTCGCGATTTTTCAATCAGCTGTTGAGAAGAGAGTAAAAAGAGGGTCATTGAAGATCAGTGGGGCATGGATCACCGTGGATATCACCTGTGCAGTAAATATAGAGTTGTGTGAAAGCACCACTTGTGGCTTAGCTACACAACGTAAACTGGCAAATGTGTTGCGTGCCTGCTTAAGCACGTGTACATTCACACATACAGTAAATTACGCTAAGTGCCACATTATCTACAGTAGGTGTGGTGGTAAATGATCTTGGGAGGCATTAGAACATCAGGAGACACACGTCGCATCATTTGTGTTTGGAAACGTGTTTCCTCCTCTTGCAGACGGAGACGCAAAATCTGCGAGGTCAGGAGCACGTGACAGCACCTGGGCCTGATGTCAGATACCAGGCCACAGCCTCGGCAGCGCACAGCAGGCTACTGGACCAAAACTGAAATAAACAGTTGTAGAAATGTTCTCAGATATTCTTGGGGGAAACATTTCCTGCGATTACTATCCCGAGTTTGCTCAACGGCGTTCGTGTCGTGAGACGAATTCGGCTTAGAGAAGTTGATATCGCAGAGCTCCCTCTGAGATACATTCAAGTGACCTTTGTTCCACACACACGAAGCAGGCAGCACTTTCCCACATGTCCTGTCACATGTTCATTGCACGGTAGTCAAACTGATATTTACATTTTTCAGAGCTGGAAGTGTAGCCAAATTATTCTGATGGTTTGTATGATCAGTCAATGGTGACCGTGCTGCCAACATCAACTCACCAAACCTGAAAACTCAGTACAATCACAGACGGCTACCTGCATTCAATGTTTTATAAACAGGAACACTCCAATCTGAGACCTGAGTGAACATGGAACGTCGGGCCAACGTTGACTCAACGTTGGGATGTTTACTGGGTAAGCACGAGTCTGCTACATTGGCTTCAAATAAAGTCAGGATTCCAAAAAACATCGGACGTGGGTGAGCGTGGCTGTCATCGATAGATTTAGCGGCAAGGGCTGGAGGATCGCGGAGACTTGTGAAACTTGTGAGACTTGTGAGACTTGTGAAACTTGTGAAACATTCGCTGGCCTGCGAAGTGGCCAAGATAAGGTAGTACAGTCAGTGGGTTCTTGAGCCGATCTGGGACTGATAACAATCATTTACCATGGGTCTGGTTTCCTCTCTTTGAAATGGAATTGGTCAAAGGTACCAATGTAGGACCCTCCAGAAGAAAAGAAAAAACAGTCGTGTGACTCAGTCAGACTTCCCTAGATAAATTACCGTTATTGAAATAATTATAAGTTATGGAATTTGGTTTGTATTCTAGAAAATCAGCAAGAGGCCATTTGGGAAACAGACTCCTGGATTCAAATGTGTGGCCACCATGTTTCCTGGTACTCCAACCTCATTTGCCATCGCGCAAATCGAACTGCGCCTATAGTCAGTTCGGCGCAGCTCAGGGAGCAGCCGATTCTCTTTTTTTTCCCACTGCAGAAGCTGAGCCGTGCCGCTGACGCGACGAACGAGTCGAGGTGACGCGGGGACGCCGTGTCACCTCGCAGCGTTACTGACCGACGTCACACGCGACGGACACGGTATTGGCCCTTGTTCCTGTGTGGCTCCCAGTCGAACGTATTGCGAGGCCCAGCGTATCATACGCGCCTTGGTTCTGGCTCGGTGCAGAAAATAGCGAGTGGGAAACAAACAAACAAACAAACAAAAAAATCCACCGCGCACCGTGAGAGTCCCGTGCTGGGCTCGACCCGGATGCGTCGGTGGACGAACGGGACCAGATCCAAATCGGCGCACACGCGCGCGCGCGACTCCCCCGGCGAGACTGAACGACCGATCCCTTCGTTGGCTCACGCGTCCTCTCCCGTCGTCTCCGGCAGGGATCTGCTGCGTCCTCGCTGCGGCGGGGAGCGTCGCCTTCACCCTGCTGCTGCTCAGAGGATACGGCGAGCCCAGCGCGGTCCTCGTGAGTGCCGCGGGGAGAGCGGTCGACTCGACGACCGCCCCCGCCGTGTCGCGTGCGTAGTCGCCCTGGCCCTGGCCTCGGCCCGATTTGGGACGAGCGCAGTTTTTGTTGCTGCAACCACGGTGAACGGCCTCGCTTTGTCCGGGAGGGAGGAGGGGTGATGCCGCTTGCCGTGGTGTGACGGTCAGCGCACCCTGCTGACTCGCGATGCAGGGGTCATCGGCGTGTGACGCGTGCGGCGTGTGTGACGCACGTGGTGTGTGTGACGCGTGTGGTGTGTGTGACGCGTGTGGCGTGTGTGACGCGTGTGGTGTGTGTGGTGTGTGTGACGCGTGTGGTGTGTATGACGCACGTGGTGCGTGTGATGCACGTGGTGTGTGTGACGCGTGTGGTGTGTGTGACGCGTGTGGTGCGTGTGGTGTGTGTGACGCGTGTGGTGCGTGTGGTGTGTGTGACGCGTGTGGTGTGTGTGACGCGTGTGGTGTGTGTGACGCGTGTGGTGTGTGTGACGCGTGTGGTGCGTGTGGTGTGTGTGACGCGTGTGGTGCACGTGCATCTGTGCGTGCGTGCCGTGTAGATGAGCAGGTGCTCTTCAAATGCGGGCTGACGGCCCCGTGCCCGCCCGGCCACTTCTCCTTCAAGGTCGCGAGCGGAGCGGCGAACGTCCTCGCAAGCAAGATCTGCTGGGAGGACGCGATGTGAGTGCTTCAGCGTTGAACCAACGCATGCGCTCGGAACCTCAGGGTGAAGGGGGGGCAGGGGGCACTGCAAGTGCCGGGGCAAGGGTGGGGGCGAGTGGGCCGAGTGGTTGCGACCGTGTGGGGCAACCCCTAGAGGCGAGGGGAACGCCGCCCGAATGGGCAACCAAATCGGTGAAAACGAAGAGAGACTCAGCAGCGCCATTAAATGAGACTCGGTTGGGCGCCACAATGTCGAGCCGTGGCTTCAGGCACAGCCACGCTTTGGATGGTGGCGGTGTCATCATTATTATTGTTACTGCGTTGGCTCTCCGAGTCTCAAGACTCTTTCTCGGGGAGGGTCCTGCCAAGTGCTCGCAGCAGTGGGGCGATATTGTTGCTGCTGCTGCTGCTGGGTGTGATCCCCCGTGGAGTAATTCGCAGGGAACGTTTCACACATGTTCATGGGACGTATTGGCCGACGGTGGTTCGTGTGGCCTGAAGCGCTCGCGCGTGGCCATTGCATTGAGTGCTGTTCCTTCTCTCCCGGTCCGTGTGCCCCAGCGTCACGATGCCAGCTCTGAGCGAGATGCAGGGAGGTCTCAGTGTGGTGCTCATCAATGGTAAACACTCATCTTCAGTATTGAGGAGTGGCTTGGTGGCCTAGAGCACTGATCTGGGACTGCTGGCCCATGGGTTCATATCCAGGAACCTGCGGTGGAATTAATCTGGGTTCTCAAGTGTAGTGAGTTGATGGTCTCTGCCCAGCCACCAATGACGGGATAAGAAGCTACCATATTGCATTTGGTACTGCAATTGATTATAGGCTTATTCCCACTGCGAGCATTAAAACATATGGGGATATACACTGTATATGTTAAACTGTCCTGCGATGAACGTTATGCTCACAATGGCAGAGCCAGTGCAAAAGTACTGCTCCATGTCGTGTTGATCAGACGTTACCTGAAGGGATCTCAGGTAGCTCTGTGATACATCATTCTGCGGGTCATTCCCTAGCACAGAGCAATGGACTGCTCTGCGGGAGATGTGATTGAATAATTTGTCTCATAGCCTCATTCGTGCAAATTGCAATTCAGACCTTTTGGGGAGCCTGAGACGAGCTGGTAGGAAGCCAGGCGGGGAGCCGGTGCCAACAATTCCCCAAGCTCTGCTGTCCTCCGTATATGTTACAAAGTTTTGAGCCAGTTAATGAGTCTTAATACATTGTATCAATAGCATAGTCAGGATACAATTGGGGGGAAATTACCAAAAAGAACGGATACAAGAATGCGCAGAATGTAATCGGCATTACCTGATGCTTGCCATGTACCTGATAACCTGAGTTAATGACCGCCTAAAAATAAACATCAGTGCCGAGTGATATCCAATCTAAATCCTGTGGCCCCTTCTATCATTCTGCATTTCCAGTCTGGTGAAGTAATAATCAAACTAGCCCGTGACCGACATAGCTTACATTGTTATTATTTATAGTTTATTACCTAACAAGAAGGTTAATGGACATTTGAATTGTACGTGAATTACCAATGTTGTTGTTTTACTATTGATTTCAGGAATGAATGGGGAAATCATGGACAGGAGGATATTTAATTTGTACTCGGGAGGTGGGTGTCTCGACTCGCATATCACTTGTGGTGACTCACATTTATGCTTCAGTATCAACAGAAGCCTAGGCAAGTAGGCCGGGTGGGTCAGGGGTCAAAGATACTGAGCCAGCACTGCTGAGATCCTGGCTTCTAATAGGAGCGTCAGAAGCCTGTGGTAAAATTGGGTTCTGCGTGTAGCAAATTAATGTCTGCTAACTGATAACAGCACAAACAAAACTCCCATCATTCATTTTAGTTCGCTAACTCAACTCGCCAAAATTAACATCGGTTAACTGCAAAACAATGAACACTGCTCCGTGATTAGGGTTCGCAAGAGTGTGCCCCTTGGTGGTTGTAAAGAAATACATGTTACGAGATCTCAGAAGTAGTTCTGGGATACCTCCTTCTTTGCTCGGGTCATTCAGTAGCACGTGGGGTAATGCAGTGCTCTGATGATAGTTACGAAATAACGATTCTCCATCTCATGGCATGACGCCAAGGGTGCAAATTTGCAATTAAATTGGGGGAATGTGTAGGTGGGCGGCTACAAAACACAGCATAGCAGGTAGGTCGCCGACCTCGCTATACGGATTGTTTTTAGGTGTGATATTCTCCAATGTGCGCATTTTCTCTGGCTGCTCCTAATCCCTTCAACACGCAAAAGCACGGCAACTGCCCGAAGCGTAGACATAACCGCTCAACCCTAGCTATGAATGCTTTCATATTTGCATTGTCTTTGTACTGTCCACCTTTTGCCATTATTCTTTGGTCTAACACTGATGCGACGAGCAACAGAGGAGGCTGCCTCTGGTGTAGGCCAATCAGTTTCAAGGATAATGCGTACATTTTTCTAAAGCATGTTTGTTTGCACGGTTTGCCACAAGCACGTGTGGTTAATGCAGACGTTATCCCTCCCGTGATATGGTGTTTGAACATCTTAACGCTTCCGTGCATTCTTTGCCAGGAAAGGGTAAAAGCCTATCCTCTTTGTCAGAGGAGTATTTGGACTGCGACTCGAGGCTTCTGCGACTGCAGAGTCGAGGCCATCAGTCAAAACGTTGGAGGCTCAAGTTTTATGTGGCCAGGTGTCAGGCTCTACCTGGGGGGCGTTTGTTCCTCTTTGTGAATTTGAGCACGCAACGTGAATAATAATATTACCTATTATCATAACAACGACAATAACAATGACTGCCGCAGACCCCGAGGAGTGCCTGCGGCTGCTGAGAGCGATAGAGGAGAAGACCATCGTGGTGGTGGCCTCGTTCGATGACGTCGCGACCTGGTGAGCGGGCGGACGCTACGGCTCCGTCGTTACCAGAGACTCCGCGAATGTCGTCGCTCACTCTCCGACTCGATGTCGTCCAAGTTGCGATATGCCGATGGATCGCGAAGTCAGTTTCCCAAACTCGCTCCGACTTTGTTACATTTCACGTGTTCTGTCGCACTGCGTGCGCTTGCCGCGCTCTTGGTTTCGAACAAGGATGACGCGGACGTCCTTCAAGGGCAGTGCACGGCCACGTAAACGCCTGTGGGCTTCGGCCTCCTCATTGTCGCAACGTGGCGATCTACGACATTGCAGCCGGACGCTGGTGGCCATTCACGTGGCCTGAAATCCAGCAGTGTGGAGGCAGCAAGGGTTGGTGGATCACTGGACAATTGTCGTGAACCTTCCTTCTCGTGGGCATCGAGGTGCCGTGCCCTCGCTCGCCAGGAGAAGGCGGTCCAGAGAGCGTGGGCTCCATTCGTTCCATCTGCAAGGGATAGAGAGTTGCCGCCCCCCCCCCCCCCCCCCCAGCACGCATGGTTCTTTGTGGGCACTCTGTTTTCCTCCTACATGTAAACGACGCTCGTTGATTGGCTGAAAATATCTTCATATAGAGAGGAGCGCAGAGCTCGGGCAAATTGTTGGCGCCGGTTTACCACCGGTGCTGCTGCCTTCGCGCTTGTCTGTGGCTCCTCCTCCTGCCTCAAAGTAGCTCTCTCGCTTCCAGAGTGAGGAGCAGATCCAGAGCAGCGCTTTACATGCTGAAAGCGTTATTATTTGTATTATTATTTGTGTTATCATTATTCGTATTATCATGATTTGTGTTATAATTATTTGCGTTATAATTATTTGTATGATCATTATTCGTATTATCATTCTTTGTATTATCGTTATTATTTGTATGATCATTATTCGTATTATCATTCTTTGTATTATCGTTATTATTTGTATGATCAATATTCGTATTATCATTAAATCTTGCCTTAAAGCTTTCGTGACTGCAGGAATTCATATTCTTTAGATCTTTCGGAAAAGTCACCCTTTTCTGATGACGACCGCTTGTGTTGCGATTGAAACGTCGTAGTTTTTTGTTATTTTATTCGAACCTATCTACGTGACTTCACCGAAAGACCCAAAGAATATCGTATTATCATTATTTGTATTATCGTTAACTTGACCCTACTTCGCCACTGATGTTATCCATGGCCAGATCACGTTCGGTCACCACGTGCTGCATAGCTCATTGAAGAATATACTGTCTTAGAATATCCTTCTCGGAACAATAATAATTTATAACCCTTTTGTCAATCGAACGAAAGGGTTACCCAACACCTTCCCGCCGCCTGCTCCCGTTCAGCCAATCCAATACTTCTGCATACAAACGCACATTCGAAAGCACCAATTAATCACGCATTCCCCACTTCTAGATTTAAAGCTTTAAAGCGACATGTCTCTGACCAAATTGGCGAGCACAAATCAGATTTGAAACATGGCAGAACGAATTCTTCTGCCGTAGCTGATCACTGTTACAATGCTGTGGGTGATCACGATATAATTTTCTCCGATACCAAGGTTCTTTGCAAACCCACGGGTTTTTATCAGAGATTTGTTCACGAGGAAATTCAGATCTACAAACACAGACACAATTTCAACCGAGAAGATGGTTTCAAATTAAGCAACCATTGGAAAGATGTTCTAAATCGAACCAAACATTAAACTAATTTCAATGGTACAGTATATTTTTCAAGTAGTGGTACCCCAAACTTTCGCAGCTCTTAAAAATTCCCTTTTCACACCATCAATAGGTAAACTCCCCCTCCCCTCCTCGCCAACCGGCATGTTCACCCGCATGTACACCACCTGTACACCGGCCAATCAAATGCTAATTTTTATGCTAATTCCTTTGTCAAGGCACCTTGTTTCCTCGCACACAGCTTAAAGGTCGCGGTCTGAGCGTGGCTGTGTTTCACTCCAGCGCTGTCCTCGAGACAGCCTGATCCCTTCACCTGATGAAGGCCGCTTGTGTTGTGGCCGAAACGTCGTGATTTTTGTTGTTTTATTTTTTACCTACGTGACTTTACCGGATAGAACCAAAGAGTATTCCCCACAACACCGTCGAAGCTTTGGCATAAAACCGTGTGCCCTCTCCCGCGACCATTGCCGCTATATCGACATTCTCGTTGTGTCCGCCCCGCTGCAGCATGGACAGCGAGATCAGAGACATCCTCTCGGAGCTGGGAAGCACGCAGTCCAAGTCGCTCAGGTTCCGAGACAGCTGGGTCTTTCTCGGAGCCAAGGGCGTGAACGGACAAAGTCCCTTTGAGCAGGTGCCTTGCAGCACCCACGCGGAGGCCGTGCATCAATAAATAATATCGACTCGACACATACACACGGTGCACGCTGTGCAAAAAAAAAAAACACTCTCGCTGTCCATTGGCGCGGAGCATTGTGAGTCATTCAGTGAATGCAGCTGCTCATCGATAATATTATTATCGGGCTGCTGATTCCAACACCGCTCCAAAGGCTGTGACCAGTCCGGCGATCGGCACCGCGTAGCGTGACAAAACAATGTGGCTACGCTTGATTTCAGTGTCGAATGTTACACGCAGCACATGATACACTGCATACAACTTAAACGATGAAACTACTGCACGTATATGCATCACCACATGCTGAGTCGTCCAGCTGGGAGTGGTAAGTAAAGTGCAGTAAATACAATCACTTTTTCAAGTATTTATGCCAATTTCATATATATTAAACCAATTTTAAACACTAAACAACACATGACAACACCTAAAAACATGTCATATAAGAATTGCTAACTAACGATGATGAGTAATTATCCGGTGTTTTTGAATATCTGGCACCCCCTCTCCCTCGAAGCCGCCGGATAATCGATGATCCACTCTATATGAATATCCATTCATCTCTACACATTTATTTGAATTTGTTGCTACATTACATTGGCTTTCCCCATTCCTGGGTCTCATCCGCAGGCGATATTAAGTACCCGGCAGCTTGCTCGTGTCTCCAAGATGTGGCCTTGTTCAATGCCAAATGTCAACACTGCATGGAGCTCATTGTGCAACTGTTGTGGAGACGTGTTTGTTTAAATACAGCTGGATATTGTCCCTCTCGAAAGCCATTCGGCTGAAGGACTCAAGATATATATAACAAAGCAAATTATGTAGGAAGCAACATTTTCAGACAAATGGCCCTTCCTTATTGCCTTTACTGTATGTGTATGGGCACACCGCACATAATGTACGCTATGAAGAGGTGCCTGCAATTGTTAGATACTTGACTCATAATGTGCGTCTAAATAACAGACAATAATTCGTTGCATAGAGCCCCCCCCCCCCCCCTCCCAAAGCCTGGCCCCCTCCACCAGTTTATTTTTATGAACGTAGGCGTGGGCACAACTTTCACGAGATTATCACCGCTCGGGCGGCAATTGCACGCCTCTTATTTGAACCTTTGAGCCCATAATCGTCCCGCCGGAAAAAAAATTATCTGCCGTCCGCCAAATTGTCTCTGTCGCCTGCGTCCCGCTTCGCAGCTCGTCGAAAACAACATGAGAAACAACGCGTACGCCGGCTGGCCGGCCAGGGCGGAGGTCGCTGGCTGCGTTCCCCAGTTCCGACCCTGACGGGAGATGAGGAATTCCCCCATCGCGTGCCTCCAAATGCCTCGATCGCCCACCACCCGTGACTTTCCGTGTCACGGCCTCCAAATCCAAAGTAAAAAAAAACGATAAGATAAAGGTGCAGCCCTGCAAACGACTTGTTCACGCCAACAGCAACGAGCCCCCATCAAAAAGGCTCGTTTTGGCCTACTCTTCCACATTGGCCGGACTCGCAGCACACGAGGCCTGCCCATCGACCGTGTCCCCATTCACAGTGGCTGGGTCGAGAGAGGCAGCAGGGGAGGATTTCAGTCACCACGTGATGGAATCGAACCGGCAAACCTCTGGATTGCAAGTCCGGTGATAAACATTGCACGACCGAGGCAGCGTCCGAAACAAGTGAAGCGTTGGAAATTCAGCCACCTGCCGGGCATGGGAAGATTCCCTTTCTACGCACGTGTGTGTATGTATGTTGAACTTATTTCGCAGCCAACCGTGCTAAATCCGAGAACTGTATTTATAACAACAATAAACGTGTGGACGCATTCGCTGTGTCCTAGTGGTTGAAAAGAGGCTCGCGACGGAAAGAAAATAAACGGTCAAAAGTGCAACGGAGAGCCGGGAGCATCGCGAAGGGCAGCAGCTACTCAACCGCCAATGTGCAGTCCGCTATAGCGATTGAGCTCTCAATAGACCCTTGACAAACGTTTGCATTGCCCCCGGTTATCCAGGTAAAGCCTCACTGAATGCCAAGTCACTTTTAACCGCTGGGTCCTGCTCACTTTTTGTCGCAGTACGGGGCGATGATTGCAACGCATTTCTCACAATTAAGCAATTTTGCGAGCAATTTGGTAAATGTGGACCATGACGCCGGCACAAAATGGTCCTACTCTTTGTCCAGTGAGGTCACGCAAACGTTGCATCCACTTGGAAGCAGCAGACGGCTGCGTGTGTTTCATGCGTGACACAGATGCAAGGATTAACCAGCGCGGCTGACGGAGTTGCTTCTCATCCCCTGAGCTACAGTAAGGGTAGCGGACGGAGCTCACAAAAAACAGGAGCCCGATATCCCGTCTTGCCTCATATGATTAGGGGTGTAAACCTGTCCGGGTTTTGTTGCCTTCGCCAGAATCGTCCTCTTGTTGAGGGTAGCTGTACTGGGTACATATGCCTTCCCGGGATATTAAATATGAACCCTTTCCCGTTTCCCGAGACGTCTGCAAGTTGCAGGGTGTGGGGTGTCCCCAGTTCACCGCTGGATCTCGGAACGTGCAGGTGGCTCGGCGTTCATTTTTATTTGGAGAGGCGTAGTCGCGCTGCTGTTTTTAAAGACATTGTACTCACCGTAAAGAACCGTAGCGACACGCCCACCGCGCTATGATATCTGGTGCCAAACTGTGCCACACGCCTTCCCGCATGGCCTTGTGAGGGCCTCGGTACCGATAATTATTTTATTTTCCAGTCTTCCGATTCCGTTCCGATGACGTACGTCTAGTGACGTACACGCACGTCATCGGAATGGGAAAGGGTTAAAAGTCGCAGTTGCTTGTCAACGACGCGTGGTTCTCCCCTCCGCCCATGATTCACTCTGGCGGCATTTTCCACCTCAGAGGTGGCGGCTCCGAGGAGGACAGAGTGCAAGCGGCAGGGCTTGCAATGTGTGGGGGGTCGTCTTCTCCGCTTCTCGTGTCCGAGGGTGGGGCAGGGAGCTCAGAAAGGGCTGAGAGGCGGCGAGGGAGGACGGACCCTTCAGGGTATTTTGCTCCAGGCCTCCGAAAATCTCTCGGGTCCTCCTGCCCAGGCTTTCCGGCACTTTTAAACACCCTTCTTGTGCCCCGCTTACGGTCTCTGACAGTGGACGGCCTCTCCGCGGCATGGCGACTCTGCGGCATCGCGTTACTCGTGCTTAGATAACGCGATGCCAGACACGTGAGCTCGAGCGGGTAAAGTCTCAGGTGAAGGATGGGCGAGAGGATCATTTATTTGACGACCGGAATGAATGAACGTGCTCCCGTACTGCTTCCGGCACTTTGCAAAGCTGCCTGAATCCGAAGGGGTGATTGGTGGAATTGATCAGTGGCAGACAACCCCAAACCACCGGCTTGAGGACTTCACCGGGGCCGTCCCGGTCTCCCCAGCGCCGATGTCGAGCACGGCACTGTACCAAGTTCCTAATTTTTGGCTGAGTCGACCTAGGGTTGGTTTCTAGTCAGATCCGAAGATCAGAATCAGAATATTTATTTATACTGCAGGAGGAATCCGATAAGTTATAAAGCTCTTTGTCACAGATGTCCAGTAGGGGCACGGGGTCAGAACGTTCCAGCAAACAGTACAAAAACTTGAAAGTAGTGCAAAGTACAAGAAAGGTCAACAAATGACCCAAACAAATAAAACTAAACCATCCCCATCAAACCAGGCAAAGCCCGCTGAGGTATTAACTCATTTTTCAGAAGCTATCTGGCCACAAATGATAGCTCAACGCAGTGGCCCATCATTTGGACATTTACAGCAACAAAGCAATCTAATCTCAATGCGTGTTTCTAAATGTGGCGGGAAAAACCGGAGGGCCCGGAGGAAAACATCAACGCGACCACGGGGAGAGAGAACCCGCAAACTGAAAATATACAGCAGCAGCAGCAGGCATCAGGGTCGGGATCGATACCGCCCGACCTCCTGCACACCAGGCGAGGGAGTGAACATCTCCTAGCCACCGATGATGCAACAGCGCAGTGGCCCTGCACGAGGCATCGTCGGTGCAGCGGCACTGGAGGGGAAGTTAACCAGCAGGACGCAACAGCGGTCGACCGGGAACAGCCCCGGAGTGTCCAGCAGGGGAACTGAATGGGGGCTGAGCCCCCCATAACTTCTCAATTCGCCTGCTGTATATTTGGAGTTTGCATCTCTCTCTCTCTCTCTCTCCTCGTGGTCGCGTGGATTTTTTTCTCCGGGTCCTCCGGTTTTTCCCTCCACATTTAAAATCAGCATCACGCGTTTAGAGTATTTGGCTGCTATAAATGTCCACGTGATAAGTCACTTCGCTGAGCTATCATTGGTGGCCAGGTCACTTCGTAAAAGAGCTACTACGGTACATGGATAGCTCAGTGGGCCTTACCTGGTGGTAAAAAAAACAATAGTTTAGTTTAAATTCTTACGGCCGCTAGAATAAAAGTGGAATATATATACACACTTGGGATGGGAGCTAGAACAGAGTGTTACGGCGTTTAAGGAAGATCGTGCCCGTTACGCGTTCTGTTAAACATTTAACGTGAGCTTAAAGTTCGTTTCCATTGACGGTGGCATTGCTCTCCACGGAGTTTGTGGTACCCCTCCCTCCCCTCAACCATTTTAAACACGGTCACACCGCAAGTGTTGCGTTCGACCAAGTCGGGTTAGACACCCATGCTCATCTGGACTCGAAAAGGACGCGAGACAGAACTGAGTGGAACAACAGTTGCTCGTAATAGCCTCAATTTGCAATGTGCCACAAAGTACTCGCTCGCCTCCTGAACAGAGAGAGAGAATGCATCAGTGGTGCCGTGGGCTCACAGACAAGCAGGGAAGCAGCAACCACGCGTTGAGCCGACGCCAAGCTATGCGGTCCTCTGTATATTAAGATGTTTTAAGGCAACCAATGAGTTACACGTATGGGAGGAAGTCGAATCACCCTGCGGAAACCCACGCACGCGAGGGTGCAACACGAAATCCCGTGCAGATGGAACAGATGGAGTCGATATGTGCTGCACTGCCTTCCCGCTGCAAGCCAGGGTTGAGCACCTCCGCGTCGCACACGCGAAGGGAGTTTCACGACATTGGTGCGGTGATCCGCAAGCCTCCACACAGCGCTGCATTACATGCGGCCACGCGCAGCCGCACCCACACGGTCGGGACAGCCGCACCCAGACGGTCGGGGCAGCAGCAGCAGCTGCAGCTACGGGAGTGAGCGAGAGCGATGCGGTCGTGGCGGGCAGTGCAACTCGATCGGGTCACGACCTCTGTCAGGGTGAGCGTCAACCACGCGCTCCAGCGGACGTCCACGGGACGCACGCCGCTGTCGGGCGTGCGTCTGAGAGCGAGATCGCGTTGTTGGCATTCCGCTGTTGAAATTGACAGTGTTGTTGTTGTCGCAGGGGACCGTCACACCTCAACGATGGGACAATTTGTATAACCGTTTTTGTTTATTTTAATGAGGCTTAAATGTCCCTGTGGCATCAGGTGCCAGTTTGGGTGCTCCTTCTACGGCCCAAATCCAAAATGGTTAATTTGATCCCAAAGCCAATAAATACTTTGTCTAAATACACGTAAAGTATGTGTGCGTGACTTCTGCCCTGTCCGATATGATAATGGATTTGCAATACGATAGAGTCCTCTCTGTGTCCTGTAGCGTTATACCCATCGTCGCCCTCGCTGATGAAATAATAAGAACAAGAACGTGCTGGACGGCCACTTGTCCCCTGTTCGTGCCACGTGTCCCCTGTTCGTGCCACGTGTCCCCTGTTCGTGCCACGTGTCCCCTGTTCGTGCCACGTGTCCCCTGTTCGTGCCACGTGTCCCCTGTTCGTGCCACGTGTCCCCTGTTCGTGCCACGTGTCCCCTGTTCGTGCCACGTGTCCCCTGTTCGTGCCACGTTTCCCCTGTTCGTGCCACGTGTCCCCTGTTCGTGCCACGTGTCCCCTGTTCGTGCCACGTGTCCCCTGTTCGTGCCACGTGTCCCCTGTTCGTGCCACGTGTCCCCTGTTCGTGCCACGTGTCCCCTGTTCGTGCCACGTGTCCCCTGTTCGTGCCACGTGTCCCCTGTTCGTGCCACGTGTCCCCTGTTCGTGCCACGTGTCCCCTGTTCGTGCCACGTGTCCCCTGTTCGTGCCACGTGTCCCCTGTTTGTGCCACGTGTCACGAGACGACGTCGCATGGAACGCCTAAATAAATCGAGAGGTATTTTACATTTGAGGCACGTATCTCTTGTTGTTCTTGCCTGGGATATAATCTTTGGTCTGCGTTGTTGAAGTATTTTACGTCAATAAAGTATCGCCAACTTGTATCCATTACATTGTACTAATCTTATATATATAGTGGAGCCGTGACGCATTGGTTAGCGCACTGCACCGCTAATCAACGACTCGGGCAGAAGC